AACTGTCGACCGGAAGAGTCATCTGAAAAAAAATACATTAACAAAACTGGTGGCTTATGAAACCAGCTAAAGCAAGAACCCTAGAATTGGTTAGCTTGATCTTTCGTAATGAACCAAGTAAATATCATTGACGAGTCTAAAAAAAACATGATATGGGACCATCAGAAAATGGAGCTTATCATGCCAAATTTTCATTGAAGAAGACTTTCCTTCAGATCCAAGCAACAAATTGTAGAAATGGAAACAGATTCTCCATGTAGGAGGGGAACAATGACAGGAACTTTTAGCTCACAAACAAAGAGGCGCAAAGGGAAATCGAATAATAACGATGATGATGATGATACCTTGCCCTTATCGATTCTCTTGACGGCGACACAATCACCAGATTTTTTGTCGGTGGCGACGTAGGTGTAGCCGAATTGGCCGTGTCCGAGCAATCTCCCGATGATGTAGCGACTGTCGAAATCCTTGGCGTACCCGAAATCGATACGCTTACCGTACGGGATCCCACCACCGTGCCTCCTCACGATCTTGTTACCATTGGTATTGATCTTCTTCCTCTCCTGCGACTGCGGCGGCGTTCTCTTGGTCGCACGTTTCCGAGGCGTGGGCTCCTTTGGAATCGTCTCCGTCATGAAGGAACAGAGCAATTGCGGTTTCGCCGGCGGCGACGGGGAGGCATCCGCCGATGTGGGATTCCGGCGTTCGCTGCTGTGGCCGCTGACTCTAGCGGAGGAGCAACAGAGACCCATTTGAAGCTAAGATCGGAGATTTTCTGGGCGAATTTCTCCGGCGTTAACGAATAGAGAGAAGAGATATCAATGGCGATGACATGGGCAAACAGAGAAAATGGAGAGCGGGAGGAACGAGGGAACCAGAAGGGAGGAGGGGAGGAAAGAGTTGTAAAAAACAAACAAACGAAAGGATACCTTTTTTGGGGAAAAAACAGAATTTTAATTCTTTTTTCTCCATTTTCAAAAACGGGAGGCCCGGAATCCTGGTTATTTTTTTATATATATCTTACGTCTAAAAATTTATTTATTTTTTAATCAGAAATTCGTTAAAGAATTTTGTTTACATATTTTACACAATCTCTTCAATGTCTTTTATTTTTATTTAAAAGATGATTGATATATTTGTCATGATTGTTTGATCCCATTTAAATCATTAAAAAATGATTGAAACAAAGAGGGGAGGACATCATATAACTAATCGAAGCTCCTGCTGTTGCTGTTGGTGTATTGACGGAATGTTACATAAGACAAAGGAACAGCCCCCCAAACCAAACCGACAGTTTTCTTAACGGTGCCGGAGTTTAGATACAAAATACAAAAGGGTTATATATTCACAAACCTATTTCGATACAAAAAAAAAGTGACTGGTTACGATGATGATGATGATATGATTCGAACAGACAAAAGCTTTCCTTCTTCTTTGTTCATAAGTTAGTTAGAACCAGGGATGCCATGTGGGGTCCATCATGCATAGGTTCCGAGGCGACAAGGCGGCTTCTACCAGCTCGTTAACGCCTCTTTGGACCGATTGCGGTGGCTCCACCGCGTTATCGTCCTGCCAAAACGTACGTTAGATGATACAATCCAACACAAGGTTCGCATCAAAAAACAAAAGCATGTGAATGTACCTCTTCGGAGAAGTACTGTGGGGCTATGCCTTTGATGCGCCCAATGACATCATCCACGTTCGAGTTAACCTTGTGTTTGAGCTCGGCCGAGTTCAACGTAGCGATTCCCGCTACTGGAGGGATCGGAACACCTAGAGGTCGTCTCCCAAACCACGATAAAAGTTCATCCCGAAAGAACATCGCCAACTGATACCGAAGATGCTGGTTTTGCTGTAAGAGCAGAGAAGGGTCAGTGAGTTTTCTTCACTTATCAAAAAAGGTTCAGATGTATCTCCGTTTTAGTACCTTGGGAGAGATAACTGCTTGAGCAGCCGAACTCATGGCCGACATTAGGAGACCTTCGACCCCGAAATGCGAGAAGAACGCTTGCATGTTCCTCGTGAGGCGGAAAGGCACAGGTTCGTTGAACTCTATCATCCCGTTGGCGTCGTAAGCCGGGTGGAAATCCGTCTGGAACAGTTTCCCAGTGTTTTTGGCAAACAAAATCTTGTTCGGGGACCTCCCGCCGATTTGTAGCATGAACGACATGAAGCTCGAGACCGCTAGCTGGACAGCGAATTGCTTCTTGAACGCCCACATATGGCTCCCACTCATCAGTGTCTTGTACATGTACTGTGAAAAGATACTGTCGTTGACCAAGTTTTTTGTGATTTCGCCATAAGCTTGGAGGCGAAGATCAACGATTGCCTCTGCCGAGATCTGCCCGGATATGGCTTGATTGAGTTGCTCCTTGAAATAGGTGATAGGAAGATCCGCCTCCCTATCATTCCTTGCACAGTGATTCTCATACACCTCGAGGAAAGTATTGTACATGAGATCGTCCTCGACCATCCGAACCTGAAAACAAAAATATTAGGAAACGAAGCCAAGCATAGAGATTTACTTGCTTATCATCCGATTTAAATGCTAGTTATTCTTAACCAGTACGTACTCACACACAAATATCGAACGGAAAAGACAGAGAAAACACATTAAATGAAACTTTAATTGGATCATGTAAGGAAAGGGCAAAGAATCTGAGTGTGTGAGGGAAGAAGAGATAAATCTCACCTGAGACCAAACAGGAATTATGATGGGAGTGTGAATTCCTATATGGCGGCGCCTTGACTCATGCTGCTTATCGAACATTTGGTTCATCACTCGGAAAAGCTGCAAGATGCGTTCATCGCTCCTAGCATTAGGTGTCAGAGAAGTCTGTACAATAAAATGCTTCTGTGAGCCATCCGAGCCGATAAGTGTCAGACGCCGGAAACTGCTTCCATGCCTTCGGACGATCGGTATGTCGGCTCCGACCCGATCCAACTTCACCGTATGATCCGGTGCCACTTCCTGGATAGTTTAAACCATATGAGTAGTTTCATAAACATATGTGATCACAAAGTTCCAATTTCAAGATCACTTCCCGACAAAAAATTGTCGGGTCGGGGAAAAACAACAATCCTATCTACCTGGTCTGAGAAGTATTGGCCCGGGATCTCCACATCGACAACATGGAAATCGCGAAGAACCCTGCTCTCGTCTTCCAATCTCAACACAGCTGGAAACCTGTCCTCGACATTGCTCTGAAGAATGTTTTTCCAGTGTTTCAACCGTTCTGTCAGCTCGGAAAGCGTGACTGGGAAAGTAGATGTATTTTCCGGATCAAGATCTCGCTCGAATTCTTGCTTGTACTCTCTCACAAACTCGACATGCTTCGTCATAGCATCTGCAGAGAAACAAGCTCTACAGACACCCGACAGCTCTTTCTTGAGCGGCTGGGGAACCTCTGCGGTCGTGGCAGTTGGATATTTGTAGCATCGATGCAACAAAGCATTCACCACTGCCAAAAGTCTTTCCTCCGGTAAAGTAACAAACCTTGAGCCAATTTCCGTGAGAAGAACCTGACAATAAAGATATCCGATTAGATTATACCAGAGAATAAAGCAGCATACCGAAGAACTGCCCACTATAAAAAAATTGTCATGATTTTTCTAAAACTGAAAAATCAAACCCAAACGAACATAAAAATAACAGGAATTTTCTTTGAAAAACGAGTATTTTTATCATTAAATGCCGAACCCGAATCAAATCTAATATCGAATGGATATATGTTTTTTAAAACCTGAAAGACCCGAACCCGAACATAACCGGACCGAAAACAGAAATGCCCACCACTACCTTTTAGGATCATGAAATTAAAAGAAAAACAAACTAGCATCTAAAGAAACAAAACTTGTATCTCGTATGTAAATTACCTCGAGTTCACTGGCCAAGTTGTTATGTTTACTCCTGAGGGATTCCATTATATCCTTTGCAGCTTCGAAAGCACTAGCAGCCGAGATTGCCAATGATGCACCCCGTCTTACTGTGTTTTGACTATTTTCACCGTGCATAGGTTGATCATTGTTCCCTGGGTTCACATTGTTTTCTGCAGTGGAACGTTCACTTTCTTGCTGCCCATGTGGGTTTCCACCTTCATGAGTTCCACTAGTTTGAGCACCTTGATGAATTTGAGCATCCATGGGCAAATTCCCTCCACCATGACCAGAACTAGCACCATGAGCATTTTGCTGCATCCTTTGCGCCATTACCATTCTTCCGAGTTCAGATTTATTAACAGCATCACGTCGTTCCAGTAAATACGTGCGTAGCCAATAATACAGAGCCTGAAATGGAAAGTTTTGCCACTTGCTTTAGATGATAGTAAAAGGGCAGCAAGTGCACAAAGCGTCCTCGTTGAGCGGAGGTCCGGGAAAGGGTCCCACCACAAGGGTGTATTGTAGGCAAGCCTTATCTTGCAGAGTATTCTGCAAGAAGAGGCTGCTTTCACAACTCAGACCCATGACAACTAGGTCACAGCGGCAACACCTTATCCAGTGCGCCAAGGTTTCCCTTCCTTTAGATGATGAAAAAAAAGAAGCATGGTTTTTTTTTTTATAAAGTTAACCTGTGGGAACACTGCGGCAATTTTCAATAGAACAAGTTTGCAATGAGGTGCTTCCGTTCTCTGAAGAGAGAGCAATAGCTGAGGTATCCAAGAAAGCCAAACCCAGTGGGGTACTTGGTCCAAGTGCTTATCAAACACCCTCCCGACAGGCTCATTTGGTGTATCGAAACTGAGAAGATAAAGAACACGAGCCATGTGGCTTCTGGAATTGGAAACTCCAAATCTTATACCCTGAAGAAAGCAACTGACAGCATATTCTAGCCAGATTTCATCTTGTGTTTCTTGGTATGCCTGCAAAAAAAGGTTGTTAAATATGAGGAACTGCATCATCATATTAGGAGGCGGCGAAATGACATACTGAAAGTGCTAAGAAAATACCATATCACAGTAATTTCCCCAGCTTATCCACCCTTTGGGCAAATTCTTGAACAGGGTGATCGCGTTGGAGTATGCAATGTTGGCACCTTCAGTGTCGTTTAGCTTCAGATGAAAATCCCCTTTCAGACGGAAGATCTCCGCTTTGTTTTTCAGTGGAAAGTATTCCAAATTTGTGCTGTTGATCAAATTAAGACCACTAGCAAGCTCTCCCTTCATTTCCAGATAAGCTTTTGCCTGTTCTCTGATTTTAACAAAGGCTTCCTGCACACACACAAAAGGACACAAGGAAGGAAGACACACTAATGAGCTTAAAAGACAAAACCAGGACAAGAAAAATCGAAACTGACAGGGAAACGAAAGAGGAGATAAGTTGGACACATAAATTCAGGATCTTGGTTACATCAATGGATGGGTTTATGGCTATCCAACAACTTATAACAATATTGATGAACCCGTTACTTTAGTACAAAGGTTTAAATATCTTAAGAGGAAGATATGGTACCTGTACTTCCATTGTCGAGTGACCATACATTTTTTCCAGTATCTGAACACATACATCATAAAGACCTTGCTTCCGGGCTATCCTGGCAAGTTTATTGACGTTCCACGCTTTGTCGCGATATCCAAGGTGATGAAGTTGAGGGTTTGAAGTAACAAAGTCTTTAAATGCATCGATAACAACGTTATACATTTCATTCCTCCATTGCAGTAGGTCATACCAGACCGTCATATTGTCCCATTCATTTGGAGTCCTGAGTCTCCAAGTCTCAAGAATGTCCTTCAGATCTGCATAAAGGTTTCCAACGGTAGAATTTCCAGAAACTTTGCTGCCATTAGCGATGTCAACATGGATCCTAGAAGATTCCTGAACCTCAACTAGTTGCTGGAATTGCTGTAATAGAGGCACTCTGGCATGAACAGACATTTCAGGCAACTGCCACCACTTTTCCAAGGCAAGATCAACTCCTTTTCCCACTATGTTTTCAGCATCTCCAACACCATTGGCATTTCTGTCGTGAAGGGCAAAATAGGCTTGAACCAAGCGAAGCTTTGGAGTCTCTTCTACCTGGGCCTTGGGTATCACATGATCCTTCAAATACATCCAATCTGGTAGTTTCCAAAGACTATCTAGCAGTACTTCATAGTTCTCAATGCTTTTTCCAAAATCTACCAGGGCATCCCATTGGCCCAGTTGAGTTGCACAGTGAAGCCATTGCTCTTCCCAAAGACACATTTCAGCCTTAGGGACTGTGTTATTGTATGTGCCTTGGGTTGCCTTAACCATTGCCTGGTAAAACAGGCTCTGAGAACGATGCCAAAACCCATGCTGAACTAGAGAAAGTCCAGCTCTTGTTTCTGCAGTGATGGACCTCTTCTTCCACAAACCAAATCTCATGTCTTCTTCATTCAATAACCGATAAAGCTCAGCAAGAGACTCTGCACATTTTGAGTCATTCATGAACAGCATGACATGGCTTTCTAGCAAAGCCAATGCCAAATGCCATGCATTATATGTTTTCCCAATATATTTGATAAGCTCACTGGGCATCCTAGGTTGAGGGTGGCTCAATTGAAGCCCTTCCAGAAGCGCTTGCACAACATTTGGCCTGTGTCCTTGCTGCTTCTTGTGGTAGTCCTTTGACAGGAGAGAGATCATAGGTTTAGCCAACGCTACCTGCTCTTCCTTGAGTAGGGTTACCCATACAATCGGAAATACCAACACCCACAGATGATATGCAACGTTGGCATCTGTATGAGCCAGTTCCCTCAAAGGGATAACAACATCAGCCACCTAGAAAGAAGGTCATTCATGAACAGCATGACATGGCTTTCTAGCAAAGCCAATGCCAAATGCCATGCATTATATGTTTTCCCAATATATTTGATAAGCTCACTGGGCATCCTAGGTTGAGGGTGGCTCAATTGAAGCCCTTCCAGAAGCGCTTGCACAACATTTGGCCTGTGTCCTTGCTGCTTCTTGTGGTAGTCCTTTGACAGGAGAGAGATCATAGGTTTAGCCAACGCTACCTGCTCTTCCTTGAGTAGGGTTACCCATACAATCGGAAATACCAACACCCACAGATGATATGCAACGTTGGCATCTGTATGAGCCAGTTCCCTCAAAGGGATAACAACATCAGCCACCTAGAAAGAAGGAAAATTTTCAAAAAAAAGTTAGCATTTATCAATTATTTAGATGAAATCTCTATACTTGGTACATAAGACAAGGCCCTTGCACTAATCTGAGTAAACATTTCATATCTAACAGGATAAAAAGGAAAACATCATCAGTTCACCAACAAGATGCTCAACTAATTCATAATCACCTGAAGTTTGCTAGTAGCATTCAGAAATTGTGCATGCTTCGTGACAATGCTATCAAACATTGAAGCAACTTCTTCAGGACCCTCCAGTGAAACAGGAGCTTGGTGCTGCATTCCAGAATTATCTGAAGGTGTACCTGAAGGCAAAAGTGGTAGAACCCTAGCAGAATTTGGCGCAAGACTAATTGGCTTATCCTCTACTAGGATAGCCAGAAGGAGATCAAGGCCCTGTTTGAGCCAAAAAACGTCACTTAAAGCTTCCCAATCCTGGAGTTGAATAATGTATTGCAACCTGGCAAACAAATTTTTTCCAAGTGACTCATGATACAGCAAGAAGAATTTCCTTCTCATCTCAGGATCCCTTGCACGTAAACCGAGCATGAAATGTCTTTCAACCTTCTGATAGATCTCTTGTCGTATAGTAGGAGGGTACCTTTGAAATAAAATACACAACATTATTTCATAAGCAATGAATATATGTAGTCCACGGGAGATAACAAGAGAAAAAAATAGGAACAACATACTTTGTCAAATCAGCACAAAGTCCATATAAAAGCTGAAGATACTTCTTATCCCATTCTTCCAGAGCCTCGGTTGAGAAATGTTGTTTATCAACCAGTGAAAGTTTCTGAAGAAAAGACACTATTTCCTTATGGGTAAGAAAAGCACCAGGCGAACTAGATGTGTCTGCCTTGCCAAAATCATCCTCAATCCACCTTTTTATCAAGTCTAGTATGCATAGAAGCACACTAGAATCAGTACCTTTTTCTGAAAGCAAGGTGTTCAATATCTGTGTTACAGATCTTTTGCATTCAGTTATGAGCATGACCCTTTCGTCAATAAGTTTCAAGACTGACTTTATATTAGATATGACTGCTCCAATATCAGCACTTTGACGAGAAGAAGTTACTGCAGAATCTGAATCGGTTCGCTGACCCTGGAAATGGAAAGAAAAATGCCACCATGGTAAGGCATTAGTTCTGAGGATATCTGAATTCATAAATCAGGATATCATGATAAGTTTGAGGGTTGACAGGAGCAAGCTTAAGTGAACAAAATGATATCTTGAAGTTAATAGTATTTCTGTACATAATGCAAACAGCTTGCCACATAAAACATAAACGAAAATAGTCAGGTTAACAAGGTCATTAAAAACGAGGAAGTAGTCTATCAAAACCTTACAAAGACAGAAACATAAGTCAATGGCATATAACCGTTCATGAATTGCTCGAAAAATGTATTGGCGAATTTAACTACTCTACAAAGTGGAGAATGCCCAGGTAAAATCTCTTCTCCAATTAAAGTTTGTATAAACAAAAAAATGCAGCACTATGTTCTGTTTTATAAAAGGCAGATATTATCAATAACATACCTGTCTAGGATGAGATCCTGCTGATGATCCCAGGTCTCGTGCAAGGCGTTGAAGGATGCGTACCAACACATATGGATCAACAAAGCTTTTCTGCACCTCCGCCAACGTTCTGATGACAAGAAGTACAAAGCTAATTGAACTGAGAGAGTTATCATCCCCTGATGCTTGTGAGGCAGTAACAGCATTAACATGTTTGTGTATTAGCTCATTGACTTTCTGATACAATAGCTTTATATCAGGAGGCGTACTAGCTGCATCCAGCGGGAATGCGGTGAACACCATCTTCAACAAGGAGCATAATGATTTGCCAGCATCCAGCAGCTTGTTTTTGAAACATGGCTCAAGAATCTAGTGAAGAAACAACAGCAATATATGATAAGAAGAAAGGAAACGAGACAAATGTGTTTAAAGCATTATGTTGAAAGCTTACAGCAGAAATTACCTGTGAAATCTGGCTGATGTTGTTCCTTATAAAAAGATGTGGCTGTTTCTCAATAACCTTGTTCATGACATCCAAGCCCTGGGCAAGAGCTGTGGATGGATCTGACTGAGATGGTGGTATGCTGCTCAGCAGTTTCTCCAAATAGTTGAACTTCACATTGGCATTTGGCCAAACCTCTAACGCTTGGGAAAGTAAATCTAAAGCTTGATTGTACATAGTGTTGGCTTCCCTGTCCTTAGGCTCAATTACCAAAGCAACCTGTCCAAGAAAGAGAAATTTTTTAAGAATGAGAAATCGAACTAGAACTACTAAACCAAACTAGACTACAAATGAAATTGTAATATCTGGAGCAGTTACATAAATAAGCAACCTGATAGAAGAGGTGATTTGATTGAAAATAGTGGATGTTCTAAACAAAGCTGAAACTGTAGGTCCATAATCAACAGAACTTTACAAGACCTAGAACCTAGAAAATTACGACTCACAGAATTCCCAATGTAAGATTTCACAAAGAGCTCTACATTTTTTTAGATTTAGTCAAATAGCCATCTCCCTTTTAGGTTTCCCAGAACAAAATTGCAAATAGGATTTATTAACTTAAACAACTCTAACAGTTCTCCTACAGGAAACTGCAACTAGAGCAAGCAAGTAAAAAATATCCTAGACTGAGAGATGGGAGCATAAAGCCTCACTCTTATGAGAAAATTGATAATCATTTCTTCCATAGCAGCATTTGGCTTGAATTCCTCATCAGGCTGGGCAGCAGATCCAGGAGTTTCAACATTGGGAATCGATGATGCACTTCCAGGTGACATGACACAGATTGACTGGAGACCAGGTTCAACTTTAACTCGTTTGCTTAAATCCTCTGATGTGGAAGATCCATCTGTTGGACGATTAGGATCAGCGCCAGATGAAGGATGTAACCCATCACTAACCTGGTTGGTATCAGTGACCACTTTCATTTCATTTTGTCTTTGCCTTTCCCAACTGACAACCAAACCAGCAAGTTCAATTGCAAGCCGCCTGTTTTCAGCTGTAGTATTATAAGGCAAACCGAGACGGCTTAGAGAATTCACCATCTGAGGTACGAACTGTGCTCTACAGCTATAAAAGAGATCTGAATGTCGAACAATAAGTTGGAAGATGTGGATCAAATTTGGAATAGAATGACCCTCCTCAACCAAAATCTTTTTGGTGTATCTTATCCAAATTGGCATGCGTGAATCTCCAAGTGGCAGCCTTTTTGGTAAAGCTGGCATTAGAATATCCAAGGCTTGCTTGACTAGCATCTTATTCTCCGGCTGGCACGTCCTAAGAAGCGCAACAAAAACCTACATTTTCAATTAAATAAACATTTATCTGTCATCAACTGAAATAAAACCAAAAGAACTCTGTTGCATATGCTTGCTGTCAGACCACTTCTTAGGTTGACAATATAGTACAGTATTATTCAAAACTAGGAAGAGAAACACCATATAAAAGGTTCCCAACGGTAGTGTATAGTGGCAACGCGTGTACCCAACCTCTTTTATTAAGACAAAGATTGAAACTAGACGAAAATCCTCGTAATTCATTCATTATGTAGTTTCTGGGAACAATCACGTAAATGAATGGCCACGAAATTTTCTTGCAAACAAGCTCCCTTTAAGAAGCTACAGCTAACAACCAACAAACAAACTTCTGCACAACTAGCACAACAAAATGCGAAGTCTTTTTATGGCATAACGAGGTCAAAGATTCAAACATGTAATTACAGCACTGAAATAACTGCTTGAAGAGGAAATTTTCGCAGCAGGAGGAAAATATTCAAGAATTTCTCATGTTTTCTTTCAATATTTTAAATTGATATCTTAGACGTAAAGTATCAGTCAATAATATATTGGAAACTATCTTACATTATTTTCAAATAATACCTGGAGAATTATTTTCTCCGGAGCCTGATAAGCATCCAAGAAATGGCAAACATTAACAAATGCCCACTGCTTACTGGCGCTATCTTCCCGTTTGAGATGATTCCATCCAAACTTAATGAGCTCCTTCCTATGATGAACCAGGTCACTCTGAAGATGTTTTAGAAGCAAAGTAGCAAACTGCAAAAGTTCGATCCTCAAAGGTTCATCATATTCAGCAGAAACCTGCAAAAAGTTGAAGATATTAGACAAAAAAAGGATAATAAAGTCTTTATGGGCTTGGGATATAGATAAGAAGCCGAACAAAGTAACAAGACTATTCAAAGGAACTCAGCTGGTACATGATACTATCATTACCACCTGGAAAATGTACATTGTTCTCTGGTCACATTTGTTTCTTCATTTTCCAAAAGGATTAGACTGTTTATTGAGGACAAAGAAACCTACCTCTTCCGGCGGATCAAGAAGCCTTTCAACAATTGTCTTAATAATATTAGGATCAATAACCTCCCAAGTTTGGCCGTTCTGGAATGCATGGGCAAGCATTGGAAGAATAAGCATTTGCATTGCCACAACTAGATGATCATGACCAAGTTGTTTTGATTGGAAAAGTGTCAGAAAATGTAAAAGAAGTGCTTTTTTCATGTTGGCTGGATATCCTTCTGACACCTGATAATAAGATTGCATTATTCTATTAGAATTCAAAACTGCGAGAAGCAAAAAGAGGAATATTAACTAGAATTCAGAATTAAAAGCGCATATACCTCAATAATGTAGAACTCCTTCAAAAAGGTGTAATCGATGCGGCTATGGAACAAGAAGATGGAGAGAATATCAAAGAGAACATTCACTTCAGATTTATCATGTCGCAGGTAATTCAGGAAGCACTTCACAAGCCATTTGCTCTCTTTCGCCTACAAGTTTGAGAAACACAACAGACTTTAGTTGCTCAACTTGTCCACAATACAACACATTATTGAAAGGAAGATTATTTAGAGCTTAAAATAAACTGAAAAAATCATGGTTAAAAATGATTCTAGAGAACTGGGGACTCGAGTATGCCAAAAAGCAGGAATAGCATGATAAAAGCATCTGAAGAAATCTAATAAACAGGTCGAGAAAAAAAATTGAAATCAAATAAACGAAATTCGAGAGTCCACTGGAAACCCTGACAAGAAAAATTACGAAAAAATAAATAAGGCTAACAACAAATCATTTCGGCAACATTAGCATAGCTACATATATCTACAGGTTCATAACCACCTATTCACCCTCTAACTTCGGATACTTTCAGATTTCCATCCCAAGATTTCCTGGCAGCGCAACAAACTATCAACTTGAACAAAGAGAAAATGCAAAAATGAAAAAATTCGGAACCCAATGGAACCTACCTGAACTAAATTCAGCTCTTGCTCATTCTGCAGACGAGATATCCTAGCAGGTGACTTCCAGATGAGAACTAATGTATCAAATACAATGCGGTTATTCTGCAGCCAGGTGGGGATCAATTTCACCATTGTTTTGATGAGGTACAGTCCCTGAAAATAAGAATCTGATGTCACGGTATCTTTTGAGGGCGTGCTAGAGTTATCCGATTGAGCAGAGACAAGGTTTTCATCCCCAGCAAATGCAGCTGGTGGAGTCGAGGCTGTTGTGCTCATTGTAGCATCCGCCTTTGGTGAAAATTCAGGAAAGGCACTGGAAAGTATCTTCTGGGGAGACTTAGCAAGTTCTTCCCTTAATGGTTGGCCAGCATCTGATCGGATTATATACATAAACCTGAATTTTCAAGGGAAAAAACAAAAAAAAATATTATCTTTTTTCATGGCCGGTATATATCCAGCTTGATATAAAATTATAATTTCTTACCTTCGGAAGTATTTAGGTTCACTTAATCTGGCCAGAAAATAATCAACAGCAAGGGTTGCGTATCGATTTAGAAACTTGGTAAGCGGAAGACGATATGGGCTATTAATCTCACTGTACACTTGCCCTGGAGGAAGAGCTGCTTCTAAGTCGATAGTTAATGTTACCAGCTCATCAAGAAATTTTGATGCAGCATTGGGAAGCAAGTGAAAGAGCTCAATAATAGCTGCCACAGGAAAATAAAACAAAGATATATTCATAGATAGAAACAGCTGAACCGACTTCTCTTTAATATATTTCTCATGAAAGCATTTACCAGCTGCTATTTTTGGTTCTTCACCAGCTTTCCATGATTTCTGGGACTGGGCAAGTTTCTCCGGCTCCAACCATTTTTTAAGGTGCTCCAGCAATTTGCCTCCTAATGTGACATTAAACCAATTTGACAGAAGTTCAAGCAGGCGGGCCAGACCTTGTAGTAAAGGCATACTGAGATTCTTTGTGTGCGCCAGATTAACTAGTATAGGCCTGAGGCTACTCTGAAGAAGTTCCTTTGGCATCCGTTGTTGATTAATGACCTAAATCAAAAACAAAGAATTCCAAGAAAAGCAACTCAAGTTTGCAGTTTTGGATATAGAACTCAGGAAGACAGCAATACTTTCCTCTGATAACTACCAAGCTAGTTCTCAGAAATTCAATAAGGTAACCAAACTGACTGAATATGAGTATTTTACATATCTATTATGTTAGAAAGAATATAGACAGGACAATCAGATAACAGTCTAACCTTTTCACATAACTATGTGGAAATCCTTAATATTGAGTGTGCATACAAGAACAGAAAACAAAGACAGAAGTAGGAACCTGGCGTAAACCCTCCTTAGCAACAGCCACAATTTCTGGCGCTCGACATGTTAGAGACTTGAAAAACATGGAAATGATCTTTGCACGCAGTTCAGAGTGACTCGGAGTTCTAAAATCTGTCCATGCCATAGTAGTGCACAGAAGCTCAATACAAGCCGTTCGAAGTCTATTCAAAGATGTAAGCACCTTAGGATTCATCAACTTCACAGCCCAAACAGTTTCATCAGCCTCAGCTATTTGTAATGCTTCTTGCAAGAAGTTAATCAACTCAGGAGTCAATTTTAGAAGCGGGGGCCTCAGTGCTAAACAGAAGTTCAGAGCTGTTACTGTTCCGACCTGCCAAGTATTCAATAAGATCCAGGAAAAAGAGGTACACAGAAGAGAACCTAGGAGAAAGTGGTACCTGTTGATCAATTGTCTTTGATCGGAGTGGACGCATTATAAGTGGCTGGAGTAAAGGTTGGTATAGAGGCTCAAGCAACTCAGATACCTCGCTACCAGTTCGGCTAGCCAAAAGCGCAAGACAGTTCTGCACATTTTTTCTCACAGTGATTGATGCATTAGGATTGAACAACTCGGTAGCAAGATATTCAACAACACCTTGAAAGCTTTGTCTACGTGCTTCACTGTTTGCTTCATCAACATTATTAACAACTCGAAGAATCTGCATAAGAACCTGACTTGTCTCTTCTTGCTCTCTGCTAGCATAAACAGGAAGCCTCTTTAAAACATAGACCAGACCACGAACAATTTTTACTTGGAAAAGACATAATGTTTCCACATTCACTTTCCCAACCAAGGCACCCAACCCCATAACACCTCCCATCTGTGCTTGCCATGTGCTTCCATAGCAGCGATGGAGAAGGCGAGGCAAAAGCTGCTCAAACACCGGTATGCGTACACTTGGATGAGGCGAGTATACAGGATTTGTAGAAGGGCTGGAGACAATCATAGAAGCAGTGTGACCACCCCTAGACATCAATGCATCAGCATGTTTAACACGAGCAAGGAACAGTAGAGTTTCAGAAAACACATTTAATGCATTCAGAGCAGCTCTTGCATGAAATCTGTTTTCATCGGCAAGCACATCAACCAACGCATCTAAAAATATCAGAGGATCCAGCAGCTTTAAGTTAGATGATCGATTACTTTTTGACCTAGAACTCGCAGAAATCACAGAAACCCCAAGTGGACCAGTGCTGGTTGAAGCATTTGACGTATAGTCAACATGTAAAATAATTGCAAAATGCCGGCAAATGTTTACAACAAAGTCATCATTTGAATTGCTGAGATCCGGATCAGAACTGGCAGCAATTACAGTGATCAATAGTGTCTTAAAAATGGACTTCTCAGCCATTAACTGGGTCTTCGTTTTTACTCCTAAATCAGCCTGCAACAGCAAATAGACCGCCTTAATGATAAACATCCTTATACAACCTACTGAACTGAGTGGTATAGATCTTAACAGTAGAAATAAGGTCACTTGGAAGATAGGACATAAAAAAAACACAGAAGTCCAAATTACATTTAAAAAAAAAAGAAACTCTTAAACGCATAAAATCAAGATAAGGAATCCTTAAATCTTTCTCTAGTACAATCCACTTTTAGCATTGAGTACGGTTAAGATGATACAATGAGAGCTGGTGATGGTGAAGGAATTTAGTGAGAAAATTGAACCAATACAGTTAGTGTTTCCTAGAATTGAAGCAGTAGGCAAAAAAGGCAAAGCAAACACGTCAATAAATTTGCTATTTGCCTAAGTCAAAATCCAACAATGACTAACCAAGAACACATAAATATTACTTATAATTACTGACCTTAATTTCTGTTGGCTCGGACCTGCGCCAGGAAGAATCAACAGTGGAAAGCAACAAAGTAGACAATTGCCTAGGCGTTTGTCCCTCGTCAGTGGCACAGCAAGGCAAATTGAGCTGAGACAATAGGCAAACACGGAGGAACTTTAGAGCTTGCTTTCTGTAGTAGATGTCCATCACAAGGTTTTTCTGAATAACAGCTGCTACAGCAAGATTGATAAATTTGTCTAACGGCACCAGAAATGGAGTGGACGGCTCAAATGTCAGAACTAAACGGAGCCCATGCTCTGGATTCTCCTTGCATTCAAGTGTAAGTGGCTCTTTCAAAAACCGCCGATTACGACCACCCAACTTTCCTAGGATTTGTAATGCCTTTCCACCCCAAGGATAAGGCACAGGCTTCAAGTGAGACCATAATGCTAAGATCACTTCAGACATCAAGTTAGCCATACTCGGTTCCAAGAAATCAGGATTCAGACTATCAACCCAGAATTCAAGGGTGCGCAAACCCAAGCTCACAAGTTCATCACTTCCTTGCAAACACAATACAAGAGGCTTCATGAGACGGGGAAGGTATGGCAGTAACGAGCTTAAGCGGGCAGGAAGTGTCAGACAAAGCTCCAACAGAAGGTCTCTAATGTCTTCCCCAGCTGGACCCTCAAGCATTGTCAGAAGCAAATTAAGACAAGGTAGCAGCATAGGGATCAAATCTCTCAGAAGCAATTCAAATTTACATCCAGCGAGAGCTCTGAACACCGTGCGGAGCAGTTGCATATAACCAAGTGGCTTTTCAACTTCAGTTGAATTTTTCATGCAGACTTCCATTATCACAGGGATATGAGGTTGCAATATCCGTTCAAAATCAGAAGGTGCTTTAGCAACAGCCCCAAAGATGCATCGGAATAGATGCAGAACTAGTTTTGTTGCTGCTGAATCTGGATTCTTCAAAACATCAAGCTTGTTGCTTACAAGAAAATTGATCAAAACATCTGCAAATGGCTTGTATACTTTGGGAGCTTGCAGAAGAGTTGCAAATATCTGAACCAGTTGAGTGTTGTCAATCATGCACTCAAAGAGCTCAGGCATACACAAAGAGAACATGTCCATTAGATCTCGAGGTTCCATAATAGCCAAAATTTGGGAGAAAAGGTGGAGCATTTCCTTCTCCTCATCCTTCTCTTTGAATAGAGCTAAACAGTGGACACCACTCTTCAGAACACCAGACGCTTTCCAAACCTACTCGAATGCAGAGATTACTAGAGAATATCTGCCATGTGCTATAAATAACTGGAGTAAAAAGTTGCAGATGCAATACCTCATCTTCTCTCATTCCTTTAAAAGCCTGAGGGCCAGGTGATTGTGAAGCAAGAGTCTGTGGGTGCATCCCATGGACAGTTAGATAAAACAACATCTAATAATGATACAAGAAATAACTGAACACAGATTCCAATGAAACCTGAGGTCGAGGCAAATGTGCATGGGTAATGCTCCATATGATTGTTTTCATTCCTGAGCACATCAGAAAAAAAGATTGGTACAGGTATATGAACAGATCCGTCTTTAGAAAGCAAGCCACTATGGTATAAAGATAATACAGCGAAGATTCAATACCCATGACAAGTGTCTTGATCAGATTCTTACAATCATTCACTTCTTTGGAGTGTTCAACAGGAACCTGCAAATTTAAAACGGCCTGCATCCAGCATGGTACAACAATTAAGAAAAGCTGCCAGATAATCTATGTGTTCATCCAAAGTAAATGTCCCAAAATGGTTTATAAAAATACATGATTCCGTAACAAGATAATAGGGTAGCCATGATTTCTAAGCACGGCAAAAGATGAGAAGCCAAAACCAAAAATTCAGCTATATCTGGTCAAATGTGTTCAAGACTTCAAGTAATAGTATTACTACCTACAACACAATCCAAAGTAGGGGTGAGCAGTTCAGATTCGGTATGGTATTTGATCGGTTCGGGTTATTCGGTTCCAGAAAAATGTGTACTAGTCGGTTATTATATTCGGTTTCAGTTTTTATAAACAAAAATGTATACCTTCTTAATAAATTTTCGGTTCTTCCGGGTTTTAAATCCAAATTAAGAAGAAATTGGACTTCTACATAAAGGAATAGGGGACAATTATAGAAAAAATTACTCAATTTCATGTGGAAAACAATCTCACAATGGCTGGTAATTTTAGCTACTAATTACCTGCACAGGAAGTTCAAGCTTTGACCTCAAAGTGGCCCGATCTTTTCCTACCTCACCCTCCTCTAAAAGCTACAAACCCAAAAAAGAATATGAAAACATTCAATAGAGTACAACAAATAAAAAGAAGTAAGACAGTAAATAAAAGAAACTAAGAAAGTATCAACTGGTATTATAGAGCATATCAAATACATCAGCAAAAACCTCACAAAAGCATATCAAGCATTCCATCTTTTTCAAAGATCAATTTAGAATTGAGCACTTCCAAAAAAATAGACTTGAGAGATCGTAACAACAAACAGATGACTCTCACAAACTGACCCTGAAAATGAACTCAAAGATAAGGCATCCCGAACTACACAATTCCCCGATCTCATTCACCAGAAGTAAAGCATAAGCAATAGAGCTAGACATCAATAAGAACAAAAAAGTAAAGACACAGAGCTTGATCATGAGCTCGATGAAAGTAAGTAAACACCGAGAGACAGTAGACAAAGAGGCCAGAAATAAGCTAAATATCCCTCCACCACACATACATTATCACTAAAAGCTTCCAGCGTTACCTGAGGAATAGTATGCTTGAACGTACTGAATTTCCCAACAAAGGCATCCAGGATACGTCCCTGTAGACAAGTATTGGGCAGACTAAGAAAATAGTCAAAGAGCCAAAACAATCTGAAATGAGCTCTCAGGGGTGAACTTATACCAACAAAATACGCGCTTCATCCATTGACTGCTGATCAACACCTTTCTCAAATATTGGCTCTACCTGAATCCGGTTGAAGTATTAACATAGCTCAATACTAAAATATTGAACAGTCTATTAAGCATGAGTTTGAAGTTTTAAGTCATAAATCATATTCACACAAGCCAAAAAAGAAGGAGAAAAAATGTATCACCAGATTCAACATCAGCCGGGCACATGTTGTATGGATATTAAGAGACAATGTAGAGTCATGCATATTTCTCGAAAACAAGTAGATAATCCGTGATAACTGCAATATCATTAAAGTGATATAAGTAACAATAATTTAAAAAGATAAAGCATATTGATACATCATCACATTCTATAATTCTCGGAAACTCAAAACCCACAGTTTAAGAGCAATAACTGCATACCAGAACACATAAGTAACACATTTATGGCATCAAATCGTCAAGACCAAATTCCGACACGGTCTAAAGATTAACAAAACTACAACATCGATAAACAATTATGCAGAATAGTACACCAAACTGGAAAGCGATGACGAACAAGAAAAGTAATCAAAATACAAAAACAAAGGAAGAGTATATTTCAAGGAAAACAACAGGAAGACCTGAGAAAGGGACAGATCTCCTCGAACATGGTGGACAATCTCAGCCAATAGGCTATAAGCCAGAGGCCTCAAAGACTCGAAGCATGCCCGGCCTGTTCCAACTAGAACCCTGATATGAGAAGAAGTTGGACAAGCCAGTTTTAATTTACAGACATGTAAAAGCGAAATATTATACAGCTCAAATTTTTATGCAAGGAAGAGCTTCCAAACAGGTAATCGAGTTGAAGAACAAAAGCATGTGTGGTTGTTCTTTCACTCAACAAGGAGATACTACAGCTTAAAGTTAAAGGATTGTAGAGATCAGGAGATAAGTATACATGATAAAAACAAAACAGTGTCCTAATAGGTGTGAAAGATTTTTACAACTTCATAAGGGCTCAATAAGCATGTTACCTCTCGTCCAAAAGAGTGTCAATAAGAGGAAATAAACCTCTCTTAAAGTCAGTCCCAAGCACATGCTTTAATGAGACTAAGAGCTCCTGTATTTCACAGAATGAAAAAGATATCTTCAACCTCAGAACCATTAATTGTAACACCAGGAGAAAAACATACTCAATAAAAGAACAAAAAGTTTAACACCTTTCTGATAGATGCAGAGTCCGAACAAGTCACAAGCAAATTTACAATGCTTTTGCATATGCTTTCTTCATGTGGCCTGATATATTCGGCACAACTCTTTAACAAGTAAGTTAGAAAAGAAACTGTCTGCAAAAAAAACAGATTAATAACAAACTGTTAATATACAAAGTCATGACTTCCATAAAGTCAAGGCAGAACACATATGGTAGACCTCAAACAAATCATTTGTTCACCATCTAAAAAGAAGATCAGGTTTGATTCCTGGCAAAATTGTGTTACCTTAACCTGTGCACCCTTCAACTCAATGAAGTGAGGCTTCAAATGTGGAGGAACTTTCTCAGGGCCAGGGACAGATATAGCAGCAACCATCAGGGGCAGCAAATGAGGAATGTTGGTTTGAACAAGTCGGCTGTACAGTTGGAAAAGAAACATAACTACAAGAGGACTCTCAGTAACTATCTTGAATGAACGAGTGCTCGGGTTAAGCTGTCCATTCCCAACAGGCCCAGTAGGAGTAAGGAACTGGTCAGAAGATGTAGATGTCTCCATGGGCTTCACGTCTTCCATTGAAACATTTTCAAAGAAATGACTGATGGTAAATCTGAAGTTCTGGTATATCTTGCAAACAAAGTCTAAGAACGGCTGAACCTCATTCTCTAGTGTCGGCCTAAAATTCCTAAGAAGGTCAAAGATTATGCGGATGCAAATTAAGCCATTTTCTTCATTATCAGTTGTGAGCACCTGCATCGCAACCTTCAAGAGCTCCTGAACAAAGGGACGAAGAACCTCACTATGTGGGAGTCGATTGAGGATCTCGACCACAATGTTTCGTAGTTTGTGCTCGGGATTGTCAGTGAATTGCGGCTTTGTAATCTGTAGAAGAATCACCGAGAATGCCCGGAAGTAGCATTTTAGGAAATTCAAGTACTCAGCCGTATGAGCTATCTCAAGACTGTCCCTGACCTCCACCACCATCTCTAGCCTCGTCTGAATAGCTACACAGAGCCATAAAAACCAAACAAAAAAAAATCAAGCTTCCAGTTCAAGAACAACTTTAAATTTTCTCTGGTGGGGAAAGAAAAATTGTTTGTCCGCTAAAAAAACGTCATGAAATCAATTCCAACTTCAAATGAAAACTTATACGAGCATCCAAGTAACTTTTTCCCTCGAAGAAACCAGTGACATAAAGGAGACGTGAATTTATGTAGACATGATATGACCCAGAAATTTCACTCGAAATCCAACATCAAACGAACCCAAATTTATATTCTCTTCTCGACATCTGCTCAGCAAACAAACAAGAATTAAGAAATGGGGAGAGAGAGAGAGAGTACGGAGGTCAGGCTCCACAAGACGACGGGAGTGTTGCTCGAAATTCTGAATGGGACTCATGGCGAATGATGCTAACACAACGACCGAAACGCTTTTCTAGGGCTCCGCCGCGAGGAGCCCTTGCGCCTCCTCCGCCTCCTTCTTCCCACAGCCCAAGTAGTCTACCAAGTCGATCACCGACGATCTCTCGCGCCTCACCGACGAGCGAGGCTAGGTCAAAACTCCCGGAGTTTACGAGGATTTTTCGCTTCTGCTACTACTAAACTTCAGGGAAAACACAGCAGCTTCCGACGGTTCTCCGACCAAGATCAACAACGGAGAAGATGACTACGAAGATTATTCTGACGAAAATTTCCCTCCCATTTTCTTTGTCTCGCTGCGACCCCTCTCGAGAGAGTCTGAGGACTCAAGAATCAGTTCAAGAAATGTTTTGCCAAGTGACCGCCGACTTTCGTGTGCTTATGCACCTTTTTTCTCCGTTTTAATTGTTTATTTATTTATTTACTTATTTTACTAATTTCCGTATACTAATTGGGCCCAATAAGCCTAACATCATACTAAACAGGCCCATTATTACTTGGGTTTTACTGGTATCGGCCCGATATCAAGTAAAAAAATCCATGCCGTATCGAAATTGGAGCTAACCACAAAAACAGAAACGAAATCACAAACTAACGGAGAAACCCATTGTGAATTTCAATGAAAGAGGAGGGATGAACTGTTTAGGATACAAAAGCATAAACACGAACATCATCCTTTTGTCCGAGCGGTTTTGGAGCAAAAAACAAACACATTGCAACAACAAGAGGCATAAATAAAAACAAACCTCACGCTTTCACTGTGTCTGAAGACGGCAAATCACGTTTGCAGCATTCACACGAACAGGGTTTCACAGAATCTATGTCCTATTTGTATTTTTGCACAACACCACCCGGCTCATGACCGAGAAAACTCGAGATGGAGAAACCACTCTGGGAAAATGGGTAGGACATAGGGGAAAAAAAACAGGCTTCATGAGATTTCAAGAGAGAACGAGTGTATTGGCTTCAGGGACAGTATCTCTTTTAGTCTTGCACCTACACAGAACAAGATTCTACATGGTTTAGGTTATGGTGATGCAAGGAGTGGACATTCATTTGGCAGAAGGCAGAAAAGATCCACGGGAACTACCTATTGCATTCTGGCCGAGATGCGTAATTATGATTGTTGCAATTTGCACACATCCAATCTCCGTTACGCCATTGTTTTGCCCTGCGGAATCAGGAGCAAAACAAATAAAAGATAAGATTAGGAAAGTTTTTCTTTTTGTCAAAAATAATTTTGACATGCCCAAGGTTCGACAAATCCAGTGCATAGGACACATGACTTAGCGTTTAAAGCCTTTGTGTAAGAAAAGTAGATAACCAGAGTTCATAATGTACCCTTTCCCGAGTAGGGCAGCCGTCAGGGTTTGCTGTAGAAATGGGAGAGGAGCCTGCCAATTTGGAGCGCTACCTGAGCTTATACCGGGATAGGATGCAGAAACTGCTGGCTGTAGTTGCATGCTAGCCTGTATGTAAAGCCAGACGAAACAAACGTAAGGATAAGCGGAAAGACAACCTTAATTTAATTTATCAGTAATCCATATGTGCTGTCCGAGTAGCCACTTACATATCCTTGGTTCAACCTTTTACTATCCCATTCAGGAGCCAAGGCTTCTGATGCTAATCTCTTTGTTCCTAGAGCTGCGTACAAAAAACCTTTAGGAAAATTGGAATTCTTTTCCGAGTGTATCTAAGGAAATTTGAAATGTCAAACATGCTATACTGTATAGAACCATGGATTACGTGAAAGTTAATCAAAAGGCCGAATCTTTAGAACAGAGGTCAAGTGTCACTCAGCAACAATCTGTTGAAACTAAACATAATTTGGTACCTGGTGGAGCAGCTTCATTGCAATTTTTGCACTGCAAGAGAACAGACAAGAATTCTGTGAACAATTCTCTGCAAATCAACTAAGAAGAAAGCAGAGGTGATTGCTGAATGGTGCATTCATGTATCCGGTTTCAGTACCTGCAAACGTGAAGAGTAGTTGTGAAAACCGCACCGGCAGAACCAGTCACCATTCCTCCATCCTTTGGGAACCAAAGCTTGACTTGCGGTGTTAGAGTAAGCGAGCAAGGCACTAGATTGGCTCATTGCACCGGCAAAATACTGAAGATGAGTTGGAAGAGAAGGTCCGGGCATTGCAAGTGCTGGCATAGCTGCTACTTCCCTCGGCTGCCCGCACTTTTTGCACTTCTCTCGTGATGCATAATTGTTGTTAGTGCAACCTATTTGCCACACAACACCCAAAGCACCCAGCACGAAGATACGCACACCACCCACCGCCAAGTCCACATACCAAAATACATATAACAAAACACAAAAAACGCTTAACCTAACTTAACTCTATAAATTAATTACCAACAAGCAAATGCGTAGGAAAGGTCACAACATGGAACCACGTAAAATGAGAAGTGGCTCGTTAAGATGATAGGCAAAACTTCCCTTGGAGGCTGGAACCAAGGAAAAAGCTGAAAACAGCTCAAGAAATTATTCGGATCATCAGACAAGCACGGCCAAAACGATTGAAACACGAATAATCACCAATCGGAGAATAAACTTCTAAAATACAGTTCATCTCTGTTATTATCCGAGGTTGCTTCAAACTCGGATATAAACTTCTAAAATACGCCGTTAAAACTAAAACCCATAATTCTCTCGCCTCCTTAAGTGTCAGAACACGACGATTAAGCCGCTCAAGAGATTCACGAATAATCACCAATCGGAGACCCAGACAACATCAAGCATCCAAATTCCATAAAATCCACGAACCAGATACATCGAACTCCAATTAAACGCGAAATATAAGAGGGAAACGAAGGAAACAACGAACCAGTGCAGATCCAATCGCCGATACGAGGGAGCCATTTGGAATCGGGAGGCATATTGGTGTCCATGAGAAGACGAGGCTGTTTGCACCGATTGCAAAACGATCTGAAAGCGTAATTCCTGTTCCTGCATCCTCCACACTCCCAATCTCCTTCTCTTCCGTCTCCCATTTCTTCGTCTTCTCCTCCTCCTCCTCCTCGTCGTCGTTCGCGTTCCAGTTCCTAAGCTCTAGAACCCGGCGACCGAGAAAAACAATGTGGTAGAGCCCATGGGCCCAAATTTGATTTTAATTACTAAAATTAGGCCCATTTAACATCCTCGTTAGGGTCCATTTGACAAAAGGGTAAAGCTGTAATTTTCCCCAAAGTTGTAAACCGGGCGAGATTTGGCAGACTACTGAGATTAATAATTTCGGTTTAGTTTTTAATTTAAAGGAATATCAAAAATACTAAATTAGTATTACTAACCCTACATTCTAAATTAATGAACTTAACTTTTGGTCATACAGAAAAATCCAATTAACCAATCTATGATTTATTCTTGTTAACGTTTTCTTAAAATCGAATATATATAATTTTTCTAAAAACTGAAAAAATATCAACTAAGGAATTAAAAACTAAACCGAAATATCAATGCATATCAATTCCCTAATGACCAATAACACACAAGATTACGATGATTTGAATTTTCAAGAATCTATTATATTTTTCCTGATCTCACAAAAAAAACTTGAATTTTCCCTTTTTGTAACGGATATGCTACGTTCTCCGATATTCTACCAAAAAGAAAGACGGGAGGAAAAAAAAAAGGCACGAGCAGAAAATAAAGGAGAAAAAAAAAATTAGAGAAGCGGCAAAAGCAAGCTGGTCCTCCCATTCCTGTTATTGCAATTGACGCATCCACCTTTCGTTTTCCTCTCCATCTCTCGCTACGGCGGTGACAGATACGGCGGCGGCTGTTGCGCAGAAGAAGCTCCGTCGCTTTTCGAGCCGGAATCAGCCGGAGCAAATCTCGAAACTCTGAATTGTATGGATTCTCTTTCTACACGTAACGATCTGGTTTATCGCGTTCGAGTTCGTGCTTCAGCACCTGTGATTTCCCGATCGGTTTCGATTTCTCGTGGAATTCGAGCTTGATTCTGATGATAGTCATGCTTTTATGGTTTCTTATCAGGAATATTAGTTCTCTCGTGTGTCTTTGCCTGTTTCTATCGGTTTATTTAGGTATCTTACAATTTCAATAGCTCCGATTACTTTAGCTGTTTAATGAACAAAAAGGAAATTTGGATTTAGTATAGTTGTCTAACAGCCTATGGATTCCAAGGTTAACACGGTACTCGTTTTGGGATTATTATGCTTGTCTGGCTGTTTGGCAGTCAATCAAACCACTAACCACCATTTCCTGGTTCCATTTGGTGATTGTGATGATCTATTATCGTTTTCAGGAACAATTCTGTTTCCAAGCGGGAAGCAGGCTCAATAGCACTGATTTCTTTTCCCGAGATGATTTTGACCATCGTCTTTGATTTTCTATTATTGTCGGTTGCCCTTACTTGGTTGATTGAGCTCTAAGTCACGTGCTTCTTTTTTTGGTTTTGATGGCATACTGCACAATATCGATTTTCGCTCCATAAGAGAGTTTGAGTCACTCTTCAGACTCCATTGCATTACTATTATTTGCTATCAGTGACACAAGCTCGTCATGCCCTTAATTTAGGTCATAGAGTGCCATTTGATGTTTGGTTTGGTTTTTAAGCTTCTTCCAATGTTTTGCAGAAAGAAGATTGCAGCTCGTTAAAATATTGGGTATGGCTGATAGACAGGATGCCAATTCATCTTCACAAGGTTCCTTACAGAGGGAAACCCATGAGATGTGGAAGAGTGAGATGGAATCATGTCCATCACTGGTAGATACATTACAGGCTGAGCTTATGGATGTAAAGGCTTCCATTGAGGGGTCAGCGGAAGATGCCAGGAAGGAGTTAAAAGTTCTATGGGGTAGGGTCAGACTAACCGCAACAATGTTTCGCTATCTGAAATCGAAAGCTAGAATCATAGCCATTCCTGATTTAGCCCATCTCTCATGTGTTGTTGAACAACTGGAAGGAGCAAGCCTTGTTGAGAAAAATGGTGCTCCACCTTCACCTTCCAAATGGGCTACGGAAATTGATCTTTTGCCTTGTGATAGTCCAGGGGAAGAAACACAGACTGGAACAAGCAGGAACCAGAGTTATTTGGGTATAGAGGATAAGGGCTATACTGCTGAGATGCTCCAATCCGTACAGATGGTTAATGATGTGCTGGAATCTCTCGCGAGAAGGGTTGCAGTTGCAGAGTCAGAAACTGCCATTCAAAAGCAGAAGGTATTTGTAGGGGAGGAAGAAATCAAAAGGAAGGCAGTGCAAATCGAGAACTTATCCTTGAAGTTAGAAGAGATGGAACAATTTGCTCAAGGAACTAACGGTGTTCTAAACGAAATGCGAGAGAGGATTGAGGAACTAGTTGAAGAGACAACTAGACAGAGGCAAAAGGCAATGGAAAATGAAGAAGAACTCTCTCGGGTAAAGAGGGAGTTTGAGTCACTTAAAAGCTACGTCAGTACTTTTACCAATGTCAGAGAAACACTTCTTTCATCCGAGAGGCAATTCCAAACCATCGAGGCGCTGTTTGAACGGTCAGTCCCATCCCATATCTTTCATATACATCTATTCACATTTGTTTGCTCTTTCATCACAACATTTGCGTTTCCATTTCCTATCTCGGCCTGTGAATTACTGAATGAGTATGCAATTGTCAAGTTGCATAGGCACATAAAGTCATGTGTAAGATGTCAGGCTTTATTAGCATAGCCAATAGTATGAAGACGGCCCACCTCAACTGACAGTAACGACAACTCTTGTTGGGGAACGATATTACAAACGGTTGAAACCAGATGTCCCAAGACGAGAGTTGAAACCGAACTCTTGTTTTTTTTTTTTTAATTCTGATCACTTCGTTTCATATGCTTTTGTCCTGAAGCAGGTTGGTAGCTAAGACGACACAGCTTGAAGGCGAGAAGGCGCAAAAAGAGGGCGAAGTCCAGAAGCTGATGGAGGAGAACGTGAGGCTGACTTCGCTTCTCGACAAGAAAGAGGCTCAGCTCCTTGCCTTGAATGAGCAATGCAAATTCATGGCTTTGAACGCGTCGGGTATATGAACAATTGCAGTTCTTCTTTGTAAAAGATCTTCTCAGTGCAATCTTCCTTCCTGCGTAGTAGACTCGAGTCTCTTTTTTTTTTCCAAGTGTCTTAAAATCTGACATTCTGAAAAAACTCTCCTTCGAGAATGGCTTAGCTGTATAAGCAAGCTGCTTGTTCGAGTTCTTCTTTCCCATGTCTCAATTTTCACTTTTTTCAACAACGAAACCGAGGGGGCGTGATTGCTGTTTGGGTTGAGAACGACACGCAGTTCAGGCGTCTATGTTACAGACAACATGAAGTTCGCGCTTTATGCAAGAGTGTGAGATTTGTCGTCGTGCCAGATGACGTGGCAGAAAGGACAAGCCAAGTGGTTATTGTACACTTGTGACGTAAAAAGTATGACATTCTGTAGTCCCTCCCTCCGTAATAAACCCCCAATTTTTCCCTCGCTCACGTAGAAACGATCGGAGAGGCTTCGTGAGCGCCATTTCTGATTCGAATTCGAGGTCCTTTGATTCATTGCAAGAGTATAACTTCCGAAAGTGGATGTCCACCAATTTTCGGCAATCACAAGTAGCCTTTGATTCTCTTTTTTAACCTCTCTCTATCGTAAAATACCATGTTCACTCATAAAAGGGAAACCTTAAATACAGATTTAACCCCCATAGAAACTTGTATTGTTTCTGATACATGTGACATATATTAAACAACGTATATTTGAAAGAACAGTTTTATCGGGAAGCTAACTCGTGCGCAGATTTTTTGGCATCTACGGGTCACACTCTTCTATTAGGAACATCTGTTTTTACTGTTGCTCCTTCCCCACTGTCTAAGCTTCTGATTGCTGACAGACTTGGGGTGACTACAGCTCGAAGCGTTTTGATGTATTGATCTACTCCTATTTATAAAAAAAAAAAAAAAAAAAAAAAAAAAAAGGGTTTGCATCCTTTGCATTAACTTGCACGATTAGATTGCATATGCATATAGGTGTAGGAATACATGCATACAAAAAAAAAAAAAAAAAAAAAAAGAACAGTGTATTTATGGCGATCCAAAAAAAAAAAAGTGGTGGTTCAAAGTTCATTGGAGGAATAGGCGGATTTATGTTATATTGGGCATATGCCCCACTCTTTTTATTAAAAAAAAACTTAACTTCATTATAAATTTGATAAATTTTTTAATAAAACTTATTATATATATACCTCCATAAAAAAATTAAATTTATCTCTTAAATTATAATAATTTTTATCTTTCTAGGTCTGCCCATGATTGAAGGAATATATGTCTTTTGCTCATGTGTCTTAAGAGTTGATGAGTTGTTACTTTTGGGAATGTATAATTCTCTGTATCCCTCTGCTTGTACTTTTTGTAATAACTTGGAACCCATCTTCATGTTTCTCCTTTCCTTAACTTGAATTTGCAAATATATACATTGTTTAATATCTGTCATGGTCTCCTTTTGGTGGTTGAGGAGTTTCAGTATGTCATATGCATTTGTCTTTGAGTGTCAGTATAAAACTAAAAGTGAAGGGAAAAAAATATAGTGGAAATAAAAGGGAAAAGCAAAAGAAGCGGGGTATAAATATGAAGAAAAAAAGGATAGTGATTAGGGCAACGAGAGGGATCTTGTCTGAACGTGAAAACAACAATAGAAAGCCCAACCAGGTAAGTGTCTTCTTGTTCCGACGACCTGATTCCCACTGTTCTTTCGTCCTCTTCTTGACCCACCGGGAAAAAAATATAGTGGAAATAAAAGGGAAAAGCAAAAGAAGCGGGGTATAAATATGAAGAAAAAAAGGATAGTGATTAGGGCAACGAGAGGGATCTTGTCTGAACGTGAAAACAACAATAGAAAGCCCAACCAGGTAAGTGTCTTCTTGTTCCGACGACCTGATTCCCACTGTTCTTTCGTCCTCTTCTTGACCCACCACTTTTATGAAACAGAGAATTTGAGAATTTACCCAGAAAAATTGTATTGATCAATTGACTGTACAATTCTTTATATACAATACGAAAGGAGAGAGAAATAGAGAGGGGGAGAGAAGAAGTTACAGAAAACCATAAAACAGAATTCTAAACAATAAATATATTCTCCTTTGAATATATTTATTGTCTCGTAATACCCCCTCGTCAAGACGGAGACGGGAGGAACAGGCTTGAGATATGCAACCGAGAAAGCAGACTCAGGAACAATGAAGGCTGCAAAGCTTTGGTAAAGATGTCGGCCAACTGGTTTTCGGCATTGACGTGCATAAGCAGAAGAAACCCAGCCCGCAGTCTATCACGAACGAGATGACAATCGATCTCGATATGCTTTGTTCGTTCGTGAAAAACAGGATTCGTCGCAATGTGTATGGCAGACCGATTATCACAAAAAAGTTTCGCAGGCCCAGTGACAGTAATGTGTAAATCCTTCAAAAGACTATGCAACCAAATGAGCTCACAGGTAGCGTTGGCCAGGGCACGATATTCGGCCTCGGTGCTGCTGCGGGAAACCGTAGTCTGCTTCTTAGCCTTCCAAGAAATCAGCGAATCCCCGAGAAACACACAAAACCCAGATGTGGAGCGTCGCGAATCCGGGCAAGAGGCCCAATCGGCATCGGCAAAGGCATTGAGGCACAAAGGGGAAGAAACATAGTAAAAAATACCCTGCCCAGGATTAGTCTTCAAGTAACGAACGACCCTTTGTGCAGCCGCAAGATGAATATCAGTGGGACATGACAGGAACTGACTGAGCTTATGAACAGCATAAGCAATGTCAGGCCTGGTGATGGTCAGGTATAATAACCTACCAATGAGCCGACGATATGCAGGAATGTCAGGAAGAAGAACGCCGGAATCTCTGGATAAGCGAACACCGGGGTCAAGAGGGGTGGAAACAGGCTTGCAAGCCAGAAACCCTGAGTCACTGATCAAGTCAAGACAGTACTTACGTTGACTGACAGAGATCCCAAGCTTGGAACGAGCTACCTCCAATCCCAGAAAGTACTGAAGCTTCCCCAGATCCTTGATCCGAAATTTATGATGAAGCAGAGACTTGAGCTGCTGAAGAGCAACATCGTTATTACGAGGGGGTATTACGAGTGGGAATTGGTAGTGGTAAAATTGGGTCAGAAAAGATGGAGTCTGAAAAGGAAGAAGGAGCATGACCAATGATTTTGATGGGCTATCCATTCCGTATATAGCAATGTAGCATGTTGCCCTGAAAGTATGCCGCAACCAGCGGCAACACGTGGACTCCTCGTATAGTTGGATTAAAAAATTATATCATATCATATAATAAAAGAAATCAGAAATATATTATATCTAAAAGCAGATCTATAATAAACATCAAATATATATATATTTTTATAAGGAATATTTTTAATTTTTATAATTTTTAAGGTGATACTCCTCTTTTTATTACTAGAGTAAGATATTTTGCTAAAGATATCCAGTGTACAAATAGTTAAAGGACATTGCTCCGACCCTAAAAAAATGGACATATTCGTTAAAAATTATATACATCCATACAAATCAACACATGCGCGCGCAATCGCAATGCAATGATACGAATGATTATTGCTGGAAACTTTGGGATTTGAGAGCAGGTCTTACAAGACATGGGTGATGTTCATATTGGTCTGGGCACTCTACTCCTCTGTGTTCACTCCAATGGAGTTCGGCTTCTTCCGTGGCCTACCCGAGAATCTCTTCATCCTCGACATTGTCGGGCAGATCGCTTTCTTAATCGACATCGTCCTTCAATTCTTCGTCGCCTTTAGAGACAGCCAGACTTACCGCATGGTCTCCAGGCCAGCCCCCATCGCCATCCGGTCAGCCCTCTTCAGCGTTTGCGTTCGTCGATGTTTCTTGCGATACAAGAAACCGGCGTCGGATGAATGTTTTGTAGATTCTAAGCTTTGCTTTTGATTCGCAGGTACTTGAAGTCGGACTTTATCGTGGACTTGCTCAGTTGCTTGCCTTGGGATCTCATTTTCAAGGTACTAATGCTGATACTTATGGGAGTTTTTTCATGAATCTGATCAACAAAATCAATATAAATGTGTAACAGAAAGTCGGTATATTTTTTCGTTTCTATTACGAGACAATAAATATATTCAAAGGAGAATATATTTATTGTTTAGAATTCTGTTTTATGGTTTTCTGTAACTTCTTCTCTCCCCCTCTCTATTTCTCTCTCCTTTCGTATTGTATATAAAGAATTGTACAGTCAATTGATCAATACAATTTTTCTGGGTAAATTCTCAAATTCTCTGTTTCATAAAATGGTATCAGAGCAATCACATTAAGGTTCCAGGATCTTTTCCTCTGAGTTTTTTTTTTCCAGAACTTGTTCTTTCCTCTTTCTTCTCTGAGGATTCATGGATCCTTTGCCACATCCACCTTTTCCGGTTGGTGATTCTTCTCCGCCGATGTCTTCTTCTACCCCAGTCTCTGTTCAGACTGCGTCTTCTTTCGATTGTTTCGATAATCCTTATTTTTTGAGCTCTGGAGATCATGCTGGTCTTCAGCTTGTTCAGAAACGTCTCACTGGCGCTGGTGATTATGGCTCCTGGCACCGGGCTGTCACCATGGCTCTCGAAGGCCGAAACAAACTCTGTTTCGTTGATGGTTCGTTACCTCGTCCTGGTGATGATGACCCCACACTTCGTTTCTGGAAGCGCAACAACGCTATCGTTGGCTCTTGGCTCATCAACTCCGTCGATGAGGATATTTCCCAAAATCTGATGTTTTATCCCACCGCTCGTGAAATGTGGCTTGATCTTGCTCATCGTTTTCAGCAATCCAATGCTCCCCGTAAGTATCGCGTTCGACAACGTCTTCGCAGTCTTCGCCAAGGTACGCTGGATATAGCCAAATACTATACTGCTCTTTCCACTATCTGGGAAGAAATGAAGACCGTCCGCGTCTATCACAGATGTACTTGTGGTCGATGCACCTGTCATGTTGATCAGCGCTGGGTTGATGAATTTGAAAGTGATTTCGTTATTGATTTCCTTTATGGATTGAATGATGAGTATGAAGGTGTCCGCAATCAAATCTACAAACCACAATGGGAGCATAAGGGACGCTGTCTGGAACGACCAGCAACAACAGCGACCTTTGCATCCGACGGAGAAATAGAAGTTTGGAAGACGACCGCATCAGACGGAATAGAGGATTTAACCAGACGTTGTTGTTCTTGCTGGATAACCAAGTTATAGACCCGCTGAATATCGGGCATAGGATCCATCATAGTGATTTGATTGCGGACACCTTCATACTCATCATTCAATCCATAAAGGAAATCAATAACGAAATCACTTTCAAATTCATCAACCCAGCGCTGATCAACATGACAGGTGCATCGACCACAAGTACATCTGTGATAGACGCGGACGGTCTTCATTTCTTCCCAGATAGTGGAAAGAGCAGTATAGTATTTGGCTATATCCAGCGTACCTTGGCGAAGACTGCGAAGACGTTGTCGAACGCGATACTTACGGGGAGCATTGGATTGCTGAAAACGATGAGCAAGATCAAGCCACATTTCACGAGCGGTGGGATAAAACATCAGATTTTGGGAAATATCCTCATCGACGGAGTTGATGAGCCAAGAGCCAACGATAGCGTTGTTGCGCTTCCAGAAACGAAGTGTGGGGTCATCATCACCAGGACGAGGTAACGAACCATCAACGAAACAGAGTTTGTTTCGGCCTTCGAGAGCCATGGTGACAGCCCGGTGCCAGGAGCCATAATCACCAGCGCCAGTGAGACGTTTCTGAACAAGCTGAAGACCAGCATGATCTCCAGAGCTCAAAAAATAAGGATTATCGAAACAATCGAAAGAAGACGCAGTCTGAACAGAGACTGGGGTAGAAGAAGACATCGGCGGAGAAGAATCACCAACCGGAAAAGGTGGATGTGGCAAAGGATCCATGAATCCTCAGAGAAGAAAGAGGAAAGAACAAGTTCTGGAAAAAAAAAAACTCAGAGGAAAAGATCCTGGAACCTTAATGTGATTGCTCTGATACCATTTTATGAAACAGAGAATTTGAGAATTTACCCAGAAAAATTGTATTGATCAATTGACTGTACAATTCTTTATATACAATACGAAAGGAGAGAGAAATAGAGAGGGGGAGAGAAGAAGTTACAGAAAACCATAAAACAGAATTCTAAACAATAAATATATTCTCCTTTGAATATATTTATTGTCTCGTAATAACCACCAGATTTTTTAAAAATTTCCCATACTGTTTTTGTTCAATTGGTGTTTGTGTTTGGACAAGGTCGAAATTTATTCAACCGTTGGTGATGTCTGAATTGGAATCATTTTTAGAGATAAAAAATGTAGGCAGCAGCTCTACCTTGGCTTTAACCATCGCTGTAATGATACGAAGAGATAATTTTGATGCTTATATAACCCAAACTTGGATGATTTACAGTGGTAACCGAACATGCAAAGCATGATCTTATCTGGATTTCTCTGATCCTTTAAGAGATGTAATTGGACAAAGTTGTTGTGAATTTGCGTATTATGAAAAAAAATTACTGTTATATAGGATTTGATGCGCGGATTTGGCATCTTATTCTTTTTTTTTATGTTGCTCATAATCACGCAGTCCGAATCATTCCCTCTTACTTACATGCCCCTGATGCTCGATGTCTAATTCACTAAACCAATTTCTTGATCTTCTACCTATCTTTTCAGTGTCTTCTTCTTTTTACAATTATATATACTATATACATATATATATTCCATAATTAAGGATGTACTTCTAGGATAGAGTTTTTTTTTGTGTGGATAATCCGAAAGTTCATTGGGTTTTTGATCCGACTACATCTCCCAGAGGAACGGGGAAGCCCAGGTGAATGCCTCTCCCCACGCTTGGATTTGAACTCAGGGTGAGAGCATGCTTTACATGTTCTCTCACCACTAGGCCACCCAAGCTTGAGTTCTATGATAGAGTTATTACAAATATGACATTGATCACTCATTATAACTTGCGGGGTATTATATATAACGACGCATTTCACGCGATCTATAAAGGAACATTTCATTTTGTATGAAAACCTGGCAGCGATCATGCATGGATGCATGATGTCCGGTTGAAGTGTAATAGAAAAATTAAAAATCTTTATATATAAGTGAATTAAGCATTAATGTGTTTACACGGCCTGTCGTAGGCAGGAGACAGATATAGTGATGGAGAACACGGAACTCTTTTTTTTTTTTGTATATGCTTGTTGAGTGGCTTTGCAAGTACGTGCCGTGTAGAATTCTACTTGTCCGTAATCTCTTTGCATGTGCCACAAAGAGAGACACGTCATACATACATACATATATACATATATATATATATATTGTTGAGCCAATCGGATTATTGAAAATGGGCATTGAATATTATTAAGTGACCAAGCATTTTGTATTCTAAAATTGGAAGTTTCAGTAGAGACAAAGTTTAAAGATGGACATAGTGCCTGATATATATATATATATGTGTGTGTGTGTGTGTGTATATACTCTTGTTTTGTTCCTAAGACAAAAGCAGACATTGTAGGACACCATGAGTCCCTATTTTATTTTTATGAACAGTACTTTTGGTTTCATTGCAGCTTTTTCCCTTCTCTTTTGGTTAAATTGATAGGCGTGTGTGTCGGTTTCTGATTATTAATTGGAAGGTTTTACTCATTGATATTTTTATTTGAAATTGTAAAATTATAAGCAAGGTTTTACTCATTGATATTTTTATTCGAAATTGTAAAACTATAAGGGTACCCTTTTTGTTGTAGAGCCATACGTATAATGTATGTGCATGCATGCATGCATTACGCATAGTCCAGCATCCACGCGGACGTGGATTTACATACATCATAGTTATGGAAAACACTCCATGTGATTTTGCATGAATCGACCTGAGGAATAGTGATCGTGTCAAAATTAGGCTGTAATAAAATAAAAATCTCTAGTTAATACTCCTTAACAGTACATGTCTTCATGTTAGCCATTTTTCTATCTTTATGCTCATAAATACCCCCCCCCCTCTCTCTCCCATTCTCCCACCACCACCTTCGTCTCTAAAAATCTTTCTAAGCCTAATTCACCTCTCTCTCTCTCTCTCTCAAGCTCAAGAAAGACATGGCGATAAGGAACAAAGCGAGTCAAGCGCCATCACTGAAACAAATCTTGAAGAGTTTGGGAAAGAAGAAGCAGAGGAGGAACCACGACATGGAAGGAGAAGACGTGCCGAGAGGCCACTTCCCGGTGTACGTAGGAGAGAACAGAAGCAGATACGTTGTTCCGATTTCATGGCTAACCCATCCGCAGTTCCAAACGTTTCTCCAACAAGCCGAAGATGAGTTTGGCTTCGTTCACGACACCGCTCTCACCATCCCTTGCGACGAACTCTTGTTCCGCTCCTTCATCTCCACGTCCCGACACAACTATTAATAAACGCTGTAATTTCCAAGGGACTAATCTATATTCAATTCAACTGGTTTCTCCTATTTACATAAATAACCTTTTATAGTTGTAAGAGAGCGGGAAAAAACGAATTACAAGTGGCCTGAGAAAAACGGCAGTATAGTAATTTCACATGGCCATTCCATATGTAAACGACGATGAGAAAAACTTGAAGAAGCAAGGACTACAAGCCGCAAGCGGGTACGATGGGCTTGTACGGTATGTTATTATTATTAGGGTTTATGTTCCCTCGACAAGAAAGGCGAAGACAACAAAGAACGGTGAGAGATTTCGTGTCAGGCACCGGCTCCCGAGTTATGTAATATATTTTTTCTCTCTTTTTTTTTTTTACTTTCCCCTCAAGTCAAACGTACTGTAATATTTTATATATATATATATATAAAGATTGTACTTTAATGTTGGTCGATGTTTATTCAGCGGAATAACAGCTAGATCTTGTAATAATAAATTGAAATGAATCAACGAATTTCACTCCAAAATTGAAATAGTATGGTAGATATTTTGAAATAGGTATAATTAGTAAACAGAGTGGGAGATATTTTATGGGGTAGACTATATGGGCCAAATCGGATTTGTTTTTTGGATTATGTTGGCAATCTCATTATACAATATTCGAATGTTAGATGATGTTCCAAGTTGGACGTGTATTATATATTATTTTGGACGTGTACTATATACTATTTTTAATTGGACCGATTATTAGATTTAATAATATTTATGAGTCTATTTGACAGTTAAGAAAATGTAGAGATTAGTGCGTGAATATAACACTATGTAATTTTTAATACTTTAATTAATGGGCAGAATTTAAAATTTAAATTATGTAATATATATATAATATATTCAACTTCTATTACTGCAAATAATGTCTAAAAAGAAACTCTCAATTTCCGATCCAACTTATCCTGTTATGAATTCATATATGATATATTTGGATCAAGATGATGTTTTCCGCAGTTTTTTTATGATTTTTCTAACAATATATGCATGGTATTGAGTACGTAATCTTGCCATTTCATGTTTGGTAACTTTGTCTAGTAGCCTTTTCACGTGTAGACAGAGTGGTCACATACACTGACAGATATATAGATATATATATACACAAGTATATATGTATGTATCTACACCCATATAGTTGCAATGAGAGAAATGAAGCAAAAGGAATTCAACATGCCTGAAAACGGTGGAGGGACTTGTCTGATATTCAGCAAACATGCCTCGTCACCTTTCTGTCCATTTATTTATGGTTTTTCTCTTTTTATATATATATATATACACACATATGTATATTTACATGTATATATATATATATGTATGTATGTTCTTAGTTTAAAATTATTTCGGAATGATCTGGTGTGTATCGCTATAGTACAAATAGAAAAATACAATTTTCGTATCAATATATATCCAGACATAAATGCAAATCAAATAATAAAATTATTATATATATTACTAAAAGAAATTTTAAAAATATCTATAGTTAAGATAAACAAATTGTAACCCAATACAACCACATACCTGTAAGCTCCGCCGCTTTCATCCTTCGTGTTATTTGTATATCGTTTTATAAGAGATTTAGTGAGAGATGTGACGAAACATAAACACAAAGTGCATTTTAATATCCCGTGGTGGGGAGGGGAACGAATATTTCAAAGCACATGGTTTGCTCCCGGTCCGGAGATTAGTCTGAGCTTCGACACAAGACGCTCCGTTATAAAAAAAAAATAAGTGCATTTTAATATTATTATATAGAAATTTCAAATCACTTGTACCATCAAAGATTTAAACACTATCGAATGGTTCCTTAATTAGGTATATTAAAAAAAACATACAATTTATTAATAATCTTATTATATGTATATATATACACACATGTAAATATTAAATATTAGGAAAATAACGAATGAGCAAGTGGTTTGACATTGGATTTTTTTTTTAAGAAAAAATTTGTAAAATCTTAGTTTTGAATTCTAAAATTTTATTTATTCATGATTTCGTCATTATGACAAATCGTTCGCATTTTCTCAACCACCTTCTACAAATATATCTTTTTTTTTTACAATTTAAAGAAACAAAAAATATCTAGATGGGAAATAATAAGTGGGCCAAGTTTGAGATTGATCTAAGGGGCCCATCATCCCTTTTTCCCGTGAGGTTTAGGCGTTTAGCTATGCATTCGGTTCGGCTTTGAAGGATTATTTTCATATTTATTTTTTTTTAGAAAATATTTATACTTGAGACAATGATTCAGACCGTTTTTTTATTAAAAATATTTATCCGCAATGAAATTTCGATTTTTTTTTTAAACGGTACGACTTCAATTTGGATTTAAAATTTTTTTTACCAGATTCGATTCGAATATTAATATAACTAGTGTTATTCATTCGAGTATATTAGATTAATTACATATCCCATATGTACTGTCATACTTTTGGTTCTTTCATTCCAATTTTGTAAAAAAAAAAAAGCAGTAGAAAAACGTGTGAATGAATTTAGGTTTGGTTAGATGAGATGTCTTTGGAGAAGAGAAGAACACGTGTAAGCCACAAATGTCTCTAAAGCTTTAACTGTTCTGTCTTTTATCATCATTATTATTAAAATGGAACTAGGGCTGGCGGTTTCGGTTCGGTTCGGTTCTTCGGAACCGGACCGAACCGAACCGTTATAACGGTATTTTCCCGACCCGAAACCGCTGTTATTTCCCAAACGATACCATTTTTAAAGAACCGAATTTTTCCGGAATCGAACCGAACTTTAAAAATCCCGAAAAACCGAATATTTTTTAATAAAATCCGGAACCGAACCGAACCGAACCGATACCGAAACCGAACCGAACCGAATACAATAAATAACCCGATTGGTACCTATTTTTGTAAAACCGAAAAGAACCGAACCGATTTATTCCGTCCCGAACACGAACCGTTTCCCGAAACGGCCACCCCAACAAATTCAATATCCTATTGAGATTTTGCAATCCGCATATAATTAATCGTCGTCTGGCCATTTATTTGCTTGCTCTTGAATTAATGTTTCTTGTCTACCTGACGCTGATGCGTGTTAGCTGTTTTTCATCTGTGTCGTTTGTCTCTTTTTCTTTTTTTGGGTTGAAAGCTCATTTGGATATTTTTGCAAATAACAATAGCGTCGACGTCAAGGATGAAAGTGTGATTCTGCTCTATTTTCAAACAGTCTTTTGTGATTGATAAATGTGAATAGCACCTACTATATATCGCGATAGTGATGCAGAAACGAGTTTGGTTCGCGAATCGGCGGGTGAACTAGAAAAATATTAATATAAAAAAATTAACCCATCTGAAGTCTGTTATTTGTGGGCCAGCCAACCCTTTTTTTAAAAAATAAAATTTATAATTTTTATTATTTTAAGATGTTTTTATTTTTAATTTGATCCGTGAATCGGTTGAGACTATCTAGACCGAGTCAGAGTTTTTTTGGCTCGTAAAAAATGAGTTACAATCTAGTCGGATCCAAAACGTTCGGACTCATCCAGATCGAACTGGATCAAGCCAGTCTGTTTTACATCCCTATATCAGGATAATATATTTTTAGACCAAACCCTAAACCTAAAATTTAATCGGTTGAGAAGGATTCTTTTACTCCAATTTTTTTAGATAATTTGTGTTTACCAAAAAAAAAAAAATCCCTAGGCTTAGATTTTGTTTTTTAACCATAAATGCATAGCTCTTTATAATATCTCAACACATTCTTCACTCCGTGACAAATCTATAGATGATATCTTCCAATCATACGCTTTGACCATAATGGATCTTCAATGCCTTTATACTAATAATATGACCTTATATTGTTTTTTTTTTCTCTCACAATGTTGATATTTGACCAAAAGAGATTACTTTTTAAAAAAAAATTTGTGTGAACTTCAATAAAAGGAGGCTCTTTGGCATCAGCATTTTCGTTGATGTTTGTTTGGTTTATTTTCAAGTTTTTTTTTTTTCCAATTTTTCATTATTTTTACATTCGTTTAAAAATCAGTTTTTTATAGGCCCATTAAAGAGGTTAGTTGACTAACTAACGGCCCATTAGGGTTTCAGAGCCCATTTGGATAAGAACCATGAAATAAAATAAACGACAAACTCAACGCCAACAAAAAAAAAAAACCCTAGCTTTCATTTCGCTTCTTCTCCTGCCGCAGTCCCCATCTTCTTCCGCCGTCTCCATGGGTCGTGTCATCAGAGCTCAGCGTAAGGGTGCTGGCTCCGTCTTCAAATCTCACACGCACCACCGCAAGGGTCCGGCTAAGTTCCGGAGCCTCGATTTCGGCGAGCGCAATGGCTACCTGAAGGGTGTCGTCACCGAGATCATCCACGACCCAGGCCGTGGCGCCCCTCTCGCTCGCGTCGTTTTCCGACATCCGTTCCGTTACAAGAAGCAGAAGGAGCTCTTCGTCGCCGCCGAGGGTATGTACACCGGTCAGTTCGTGTACTGTGGTAAGAGAGCCTCTCTCGTTGTCGGTAACGTCCTCCCTCTCAGATCTATCCCTGAGGGAGCTGTCGTCTGCAACGTTGAGCACCATGTCGGTGATCGTGGTGTTTTCGCTAGGGCTTCCGGTGATTACGCCATCGTTATTGCTCACAACCCCGATAACGACACCACTAGGTCTGTTTCGTTACCTGTTCACCGACCTTTGAATTGTGATAGTGGTATGAATTAGCTGATTGTGCAATAATTCGTCGAGGATTTTCTGGGTTTTTGGGGCTTTGAATCTGATTGAATTGCTGATCGCTAGAATCTGTAGAAATGATTCATGTCTGTTGTTCTTCATCATGCCCTGATTAGATCCTGTTTTAGCTGTTCTAATGAATCGAATTGATGAAGCAATTTGCCTGCCTATGAACCTTTTATCAAACTAAACACAACATTTACAGTTTGGGGATTAGTGTATAGTTTAGGAGATTCATTACTTGATGATGGGTTTCTCAGAAGCATCTTAAGAACAAGCTCTTGTTCTGACAGAATGGCAAAACCCTTGTCTCTTTTTTGACAGAATCAAGCTTCCATCTGGTTCAAAGAAGATTGTCCCGAGTGCCTGCAGGGCCATGGTCGGTCAAGTGGCAGGCGGTGGAAGAACTGAGAAGCCTATGCTCAAGGCGGGTAATGCTTATCACAAGTTCCGAGTGAAGAGGAACTGCTGGCCTAAGGTTCGTGGTGTGGCTATGAACCCTGTCGAGCATCCTCACGGAGGAGGTAACCATCAACACATTGGTCATGCCAGTACGGTCAGACGTGACGCTCCTCCTGGACAGAAGGTCGGTCTCATCGCCGCCAGGAGGACCGGTCGTCTCAGAGGTCAAGCTGCCGCCACAGCTTCCAAGGCCGACAAGGCTTAGTAGCGATCTCTTATCCATATCTTATCTGCGTCTCTCTTTTTTCAGCATTTTTGTTGTGTTTTGATTCAGACTTCGTTCTTGATTCCCAATATTCACAGTTGTTTTAGAACGTTCTATCTGAGTAGATGGAATCTTTTGTTTGTCCTCAGTCGAAGAACTCGTACTCTCTGCATCTGCTATTCAATGGTAGTGGTTTTGACTTTTTGGTTATGAATTCAAAGTGCACTCCCTCCTAGTAGAGGTGTTCATTTTGGTTATTAGCCGAGCGGTCGAATATAAATGTATTCCAATTGAATTCGACATAAATATCGATAGGTTATATTCTTAGCCAATTAAAAAGTAAGTTTTCTAAAATTGAATTCGAATCGAAATAATGCCTAAAAAAATATTATAAATTTCTAGAATTAATGCAATTAATGATGAAAACCCAAAAAATAATGTCTAAAAAAACATTTACAAATTTGTTAATAATGAACTGAAAATCGATTATGAGATTTCGGATCGAATCCGAATTAGATATAAAAATAATGGAAATAAAGTCCAATGAATATAAAATCTTTTTATATAATGAACATTTCTTTAATGAAATGGAATCCAAATTGAAATTCAATATAAAAATTTAATGAATATAAAGCGGATTAGGAGGATAAATGAAATAAAATAGAATAAAAAAAACAAAAAATATGGCGCACGTGTGAGTGTGGTAGAATAGAATTTAATTGAAAAATATTTCTGAAATGTGGGTTAGGCCTCATACCCGACCTGAAGACGTCGGCCCATTAAAGGCCCACTTTGAGTTAGCTGTTTACCAGATGGGCTTTCTATACCATCATTTTATATCCCAATTTCAAACGTATCAAACTTTGGGCACCCACCTGTCGCCCAATGTTGTACACGTGGCACATTATAAATTTTGATATCGGTACGCGTGTATATGTTTCGTCTGTTTTTGTATATTAGAATTTTGAATAATTTGCAACGTTTTTACGAGTGTATTGAAATGTAGATTTCAGGTTTTATTTATATTTGGTTTTGGTTATATATATAGATTTATCTATAATTAATACCCCAAATCTCATTTTATTATATGTATATAAAAAAAAAGACAAGGTTCCAGAAACAAAGAAAACAGAAAACAAAAACACTTGCGTCGGTTCAGAATCAGAGTCAGAGGTTCTCTGGTCAACGCAACCTTCACTTGCCTCATTTGTCTTAATTAAGATTTCTTGAGAGCCGTCTATTTTCAAACTGCTTAGTACGCAGTTGCATTCCTTTTCTTTCCTCCTAAGTTTCTCTCTCTTGGAATTTCGTTGGCAAGAAACCCAGCACAAGCCGGAGACCGATCGGTAGCGACGGCGATGTCACCGGAGATTCGGTTTACTTTTTTCACTTTCGCGGTGCTGCTCTTCTCTCCGACCTTGTCCCATGGCTTAGTGCCTCCTCGTACGTTGTCTCATGGCTTGTCCGGAAGCGGCTATTACTTGACTTCGGATGAGCTCTGGTTCAACCAAACCCTAGATCACTTCTCTCCTTACGTAATTTCTCTCCTCTCTTTCCCAAGAATGAATTTCTCTCTGTTTTTCTTGGTTTGTTTGATTTGGTTTTGTCGCTTCGTTGAGAATCTTGGGAAGACTTTGTCGGGATCCGCAGATGTTTGTTTCATGTTCTTAGAATTTAGCCAACCCAATGGTCTGATTTCATATTTCCGTGCAAATTACCGCTTCATTCGCATTTTTCGGATTGGGTTTATCTCTCTCAGGATCACCGAAAATTCAGTCAGAGGTACTATGAATTCCTAGACTATTTCCGGGCACCAGATGGGCCTATCTTTCTGAGAATCTGCGGTGAAGCTGCTTGCAATGGCATCCCCAATGATTATCTTGGCGTAAGTTCTTCATAAGAGCATTTCGTTGGTTGTCTTAACCAACGATTTCGTGTCTTATGAATGTAATGATGTCGTAATCTTGGAGGCATTTATGCAATTCAGGTGTTAGCAAAGAAGTTCGAAGCGGCGGTCATTTCCCTCGAGCATCGGTATTATGGGAAGAGCTCCCCATTTAACTCATTGGCAACAGAGAATCTTAGATATCTCTCATCAAAACAGGCCCTTTTCGATTTGGCTGCTTTCCGACAGTATTACCAGGCAAGGCTTCTTTTTCTGTTTCTTGAGCTTATGTCTGTTTCATGATATACGATCTTCATACTCTCCCGGATTTGTGGTTGTAGGATTCGCTGAACGTTAGGTTTAATAGAAACGGTGTTGACAATCCATGGTTCGTTTTTGGGGTCTCGTACTCTGGAGCTCTAAGTGCATGGTTCCGTCTTAAGTTCCCTCATTTGACGTGCGGAAGCCTTGCTAGTTCCGCAGTTGTTCGCGCTATCTACGAATTCCCCGAATTCGATCAGCAGGTAATGCAACAGTACCATAAGTTTCTTTCTTCCATTGCCAGTTCCAAGATTAACAGAGTTAATCAACCGTTGTTAACGGTTTCACATCTTCAAGTATACGTACAATTAAGGCATTAACCACCAAAAGGGTCTGGCTTTTTGTACCGTACGAGCAGATTGGTGAGTCGGCTGGTCCGGAATGCAAAGCTGTTCTTCAGGAGACGAATAAGCTCCTGGAACTAGGGCTTAAAGTAAATGGAAAGGCTGTGAAAGAACTCTTCAATGCCTCCGAGGTCTCTCTCTTCTCTGCTTTGAACTCTTGCTAGTGGAAATGTAGAATATCCAGCTTCGATTACGATGAGTTTATGTATGTATCTGTATCTGCAGCTTGGCATCGATGCTGATTTCTTATACTTCGTCACTGATGCGGCAGTTATGGCGGTAAGGATATCCCTTCTCTACCCTTTTAATTTCGTGTTTTCTCTTCTTCTTTCTTTCCTATTTCGTCTCATCGGTTATATCCCTGATCGAAACCGTGCAGATCCAATATGGAAACCCAGATAAACTATGTATCCCCCTCGTCGAAGCCAAGAAGAACGGCAGTGATTTAGTGGTGAGTCCCGAACGTTTGCTCCAAGCGCTTAGAATTCACGTTATCTTGCAAAAGTCTGTACTTATGCACTTAATTTCGAGCGTTTATTTGATGCAGGAAGCGTATGCGAAATATGTTAGAGAGTTCAGCATTGGAGTTTTCGGGCTGAGTGCTAAAACGTACGGCAGGAAACATTTGAGAGACACTGCTCTTGCCAAAGACAGCGAGGATCGGTTATGGTGGTTCCAGGTTTGCACCGAAGTGGCGTATTTCCAGGTGGCACCTGCAAATGATAGTGTCCGGTCTCAGCAAATTAATACAGAGTATGTGCTTCATCAGCAGCATCTTGTCTCATTCCAGGCCCTTTGAAGTTCTCATGCTTATCTTCCTTGTAACTCCTGTCTTTACGTCGTAGGTATCATTTGGATGTCTGCAAGAGCCTGTTCGGGAAGGGCGTTTATCCTGAAGTCGATGCAACAAACCTCTACTATGGAGGCGATAAAATTGCCGGTATGTGAACCTGAACCTTCTAGACCCTCTGTCTTCTTTGTAGGGCTGGGCAAAAAACCCTGAATGTTTCGTACCCGTTTACTATTGAGATGAAATCGGGTTTTTGTGTGAGGAAAACCTGAAAATTTCGTTCGGGTAATTGGGTCCCCGAGACAGGTCCTAGTACCATGGGTACACGGATTTGTGTAAGATGTCCATTGCATTTTACCCTTAGGCTTTATAAGTATTTACAAATATACTATTAGGTACCCAAACATTGTCTTGGGTATCCGAAATTCGGGTAACTGAACCGTACGAGTCCGAGATGGGTAATATCTTGTGAGACCCGAGATGGTTGGGTTCTGATTCAGGTTGGAATTCAGATAACTCGAAAATCTCGGTTTCGTTTCTCATGGAAACTTAATTGCAGGTACCAAAATCATATTCACGAACGGGTCACAAGATCCATGGCGTCATGCCTCAAAGCAAACCTCATCTCCCGACCGTAAGTCTCCCAATCCGAGAAGACTGAATCAAGAATCTGTTCTTTTCTTTTTTGGGTGGGGGTGGGGGTAGGGGAGTTTCTGACAAGTTTGAGTTTCTGACCAACCAGTGCCATCCTTGCTGATAAGCTGTCACAACTGTGGACACGGAACCGATCTACGTGGATGTCCTCAATCTCCCATGGCCATTGAAGGTATAGGTGTACATCATGTTGTTTTCTTAACCCCCAACCAAAAAAAAAAAAGGGTTGATGGAACGTATAAAAATATATTTCAGGAAGTTCGAAGAATTGCAGCTCGCCGGATGCGGTGAACAGAGTGAGGCAGCAGATGGTAGAATACATTGATCTATGGCTCTCTGAGTGTAGAGGCCAGCTTTGGACTGCCATGTGACACCGCTACTGCTACTACTGTCATGTCTTATAGGATGGCGATGAAGACATACACATGTTCTTGTCCAAGCTCTTCCATCAAGTAAGAGGCTTATAACTACCCTCTTATCATCCATGTAACTGTTAGCAACAGACCGGAGGATCTTCATTGTGTGTAAACTCTTATGCAGCATTAGATGAAAATGTTGTTGTCGACATGTGTCTGCGCGTTGGTCAGTGTCTGTCTTTGTCTTCTAGGCACCTGAAAGATGATATGCTTAGATTCTTGTCGGATGCTGTCGAGAGTCCATCAATTCGATCTCTCTCTCTCTCTGGTTCCATCCGTCAAACATTTGAGTTCGAATACCTGTTGATACCCCGATGCAAAGCCACAGTTTCCGTCCTTTTTCCCACGTGGCACCTTTACCGCGATCTTGAAGGCGGTCTTTTGTTTTCCGCCCAAAATGGGTTTGTAAATTTTACAAAAGGCAAGAACAAGAACTCACCTGGATGTAAGAACGTGAAGAAGAAGAAGCCTGTGATTTTCACCGAAGAAGAAACGATTGTTGTGACGATGGATGGAACTGAACATGTGGGATGATATAATAATCGGATCTATACGTAGTTGCCAGGCTTCATTCTTTGAAATACCTCACTTTCCTTACAAAAGTGTACACGTGTTCGGTCCGTCGCATTTGTCGGGCTGGATGAAACGGAAGGATTTTCCGGTTTTGCTCTGAAACGGCGTCGCTTTGACCTTCCTCCGTCTGAATAAACGAACGAGTCGACTCGCGATTTGACCGGAGGTAACTTTCAAACAAAATTTCAAAGGTATCATCGTTTTCTCATCTTTGAATCTTTTTCCCTGAAAATTTTCTTTCGCTTTCGACTTTCGACAATCTGCTGATAAAAATCTTGTAGTGAGATGAGCGAAGCTACGACGAATCTGACGCCGACGCAGCGGTACGCGGCGGGGGCATTGTTCGCGATGCTTTGGACTGCCATGTGACACCGCTACTGCTACTACTGTCATGTCTTATAGGATGGCGATGAAGACATACACATGTTCTTGTCCAAGCTCTTCCATCAAGTAAGAGGCTTATAACTACCCTCTTATCATCCATGTAACTGTTAGCAACAGACCGGAGGATCTTCATTGTGTGTAAACTCTTATGCAGCATTAGATGAAAATGTTGTTGTCGACATGTGTCTGCGCGTTGGTCAGTGTCTGTCTTTGTCTTCTAGGCACCTGAAAGATGATATGCTTAGATTCTTGTCGGATGCTGTCGAGAGTCCATCAATTCGATCTCTCTCTCTCTCTGGTTCCATCCGTCAAACATTTGAGTTCGAATACCTGTTGATACCCCGATGCAAAGCCACAGTTTCCGTCCTTTTTCCCACGTGGCACCTTTACCGCGATCTTGAAGGCGGTCTTTTGTTTTCCGCCCAAAATGGGTTTGTAAATTTTACAAAAGGCAAGAACAAGAACTCACCTGGATGTAAGAACGTGAAGAAGAAGAAGCCTGTGATTTTCACCGAAGAAGAAACGATTGTTGTGACGATGGATGGAACTGAACATGTGGGATGATATAATAATCGGATCTATACGTAGTTGCCAGGCTTCATTCTTTGAAATACCTCACTTTCCTTACAAAAGTGTACACGTGTTCGGTCCGTCGCATTTGTCGGGCTGGATGAAACGGAAGGATTTTCCGGTTTTGCTCTGAAACGGCGTCGCTTTGACCTTCCTCCGTCTGAATAAACGAACGAGTCGACTCGCGATTTGACCGGAGGTAACTTTCAAACAAAATTTCAAAGGTATCATCGTTTTCTCATCTTTGAATCTTTTTCCCTGAAAATTTTCTTTCGCTTTCGACTTTCGACAATCTGCTGATAAAAATCTTGTAGTGAGATGAGCGAAGCTACGACGAATCTGACGCCGACGCAGCGGTACGCGGCGGGGGCATTGTTCGCGATCGCCGTCAACCAAGCGCAAATCCCCCAGACGCAGCCGCTGGGGAGCCCAGTGGCCGACGAAGACGACGAAGGAGGCGGCGGCGAAAGTCGCCGGTCTGGTGAGCGAAGCAGCAGCGGCAGCAGCAACGATTCTGTTTCCGAGGACCCTGGCCTCTGGGTACACGAGTGTTCGGGTCTCCTTCGACCCGTTTTCAGGTGATTTCCCTGTCGATTTTGCTTCTTTTGATCGCTTTTCCATGGACCTATGTATGATCAAGTATCCTGGGATTCTTTTCTGAGTTTTGTTTGTTCTTGATCTCGTTGAAATCATCTGGAATTGTCGTTTCTGGAGCTATGGATGTGTTTATATGTGTGTGTATGTGTAATGAGCTGTATCTGTCATTCGATTTCCATGCACAGAGGTCTTCATATCGATTCCTCAGCTTGGAATGGTCTCGAGGAAACAGCTGGTTCTTCTCCAGCGAAGCATCATGTCGGTGCGGTATGACTGTTCCCTTTGTGGTTTAGCTTTTGCTTCTTCAATCCCACCATGTTTATCCTTTGTTTCTTTGATTTCTTGTAGTTCATGAGGCTACTGTCCGAAGAAGCGAGTGATGTTTCTTCGGAGATGGCAGAGAAAGAGGAGGCTTTAGCTAAGGCTGTTGATGCAATGGTGCGAAGCATGGAAAGTTCTGTATCTGTGGAATCTAAGAAGGAGATTCGTAAGGGGTACGAAGATGAATGCCGTGAGAAATATGCAGTTCCCGAGGCACAATCTAACTCTAAAGTTGTCGATAAGGATTCCATCAGACAGCCAGTAACAGAGGCAGGTGTAAGTAGAGATGACAGGCAGAAACCCGTCAGTCTGCCACAAACAGAAAACCTAGATCCGGGCATAAGTATAGATGAAGCCCACAAGCCTGGAGTCGTTGCAGATGAGAAACCTGTGGAGGAAGTAACATTGGTCAGATATCAAAGGAAGATAAATGTTCTTTACGAGCTTCTTTCAGCTTGTTTGGCTGATAAACGTGAAGAGAAAAAGAAAAAGAAATATACCCGGCGTAGAAAAGGCTATGATGCTCGACATCGTGTTGCTTTGCGTTTACTCGCGACCTGGTTTGACATTGAGTGGATAAACGTGGTTCGTATACCTAAATTCTTTACAAACAAAGCTCATTTGATAATTTCATGCTAGTTCATTACATTCTGTGGCTCCGTATTAGCTATCATGCTGAGAATTAGGATATGGCATGCATGGAAATCTTCTGCAGATCCAAGTTCTGATCATGGTTTGTCTAGTTTCTTGCACACTTTCTAATACTTTTGCACTCTGCTGAGCATCTTTTTTCTTGTTCTCTTTTCATCTGTATATTGCACAATTTGATAGTTCTATGATTGTTATGGTGTTCAAATTAAGGGATCTTTGACTTTTTAGGAAGCAATCGAGACAATGGTTGCATGCTCTGCAATGGCCATACAAAAGGTTGAGGAAACAAAGGAAGACGAGTCTTTGTCTCCTCAGAGTAGATGGGCTAAATGGAAGCGTGGAGGCATCATTGGTGCTGCTGCTTTAACCGGGGGTACTTTGATGGCCATCACCGGTGGTACGGTCGCTTCTGTGCATTATCCTTTGGACTCCATGGCAGTAGAAAAGTGTTTCCACCATGGCTTACTTGTTTCTTGTTTTTGTGTGATGTTGAAAAAGGATTGGCTGCTCCAGCCATTGCTGCAGGGTTCGGTGCATTGGCACCGACACTGGGCACTTTGGTACCTGTGATTGGAGCCAGTGGGTTTGCAGCGGCTGCAAGTGCTGCTGGAACTGTTGCTGGTTCGGTTGCTGTTGCAGCATCATTTGGAGGTGGGTGATACAAATGTTCGTTTTGTGAAGTATATATATTGAAAACTGGTTTTGGGTTCTCAAAATGAGAACTTAACGGAAGAAGGGGCGTAAATTTCATTATCATCCTAAAAAAATATTTTTTATTTGTGAATAAGCTGCTACAATGCATTTGTGCTATTGTTCTTGATCATTTTTTTAATCAGCTGCTGGAGCTGGGCTCACGGGGAGTAAGATGGCAAGGAGAATTGGAGACATTGATGAGTTTGAATTTAAAGCTATTGGAGAACATCATAACGAAGGAGTGAGTTCCATTTTTCTTCCTTTGCTATATCAAAGGGATGTAATTTTCCATTGGAACTATGAAATGTTGGCTGTGACATAGTTTTTCATCTAAACCATGAATTTCGTTGCTGTGTTTATGCATTCTTAAGAGATGAGAACATTCATAATGCGCTTTTAATGACGTGAAACTATTTATCACAAATCAATGTAACAGCGATTAGCGGTGGAAGTCTTGGTTTCTGGCTTTGTTTTCAAGGAAGAAGATTTCGTAAGACCCTGGGAAGGATTACATGACAACTTGGAAAGGTATGTGAGTATTTCAACTTAAATCTACTTGGTTGGAATGGTCTTTCAAGACATGGGGATCTTAATAAATACTCACCAGACGGTCCACCAATTTTCCAGTTCAAGTATGCACGAGGAGTTGCTATTTCGTATGACTTGGTCTTTACTTTTAGGTACACGCTTCAGTGGGAGACTAAGAATCTTGTAGCAGTGAGCACTGCAATTCAGGATTGGCTTACGTCAAGTAATTTGTTTCAACCTCATAGCCATTTTTTCATTTAGAACTTCATCGATGAACTCTGAATAGAAGTAGCATCGGTATGAATGCCACCAGGACTTGCATTGGAATTGATGAAACAAGGTGCAATGCACACTGTACTAAGCACTCTTTTAGCTGCACTGGCCTGGCCTGCAACTATCCTTGTTGCTGCTGATTTCATAGATAGCAAATGGAGTGTCGCCATTGACAGGTATATATCTTTTTCTCTTGGCTTTGCAGGAAAAACCTCGTAGAGGTTACTTGATCATAAAATCCAATTCATTTTATTGATGAAAGATGGTGACCAGACCCAACTCATAATCTCCTCTTACAGATCAGACAAAGCAGGAAGACTTCTAGCTGAAGTGCTTTTGAAAGGATTGCAGGGAAACAGGTACAAAGTTCACGATCTTTTGCAGACGATTTCTATGCATTTGAAGTTACGAGACTCAAATTTCCGTTTTGCGTTTTGTTTATTTGAAATTTGGACATGCAGACCTGTCACGCTCGTGGGTTACTCACTTGGTGCACGTGTTATCTTCAAGTGCCTCCAGGCTCTGGCTGAGACAGAAGAAAACGGTACTCACCCTAACATTATGGTCCTTACGAAGACTATTTAATGGTTTCGTCCTTGTTGATTTTCACCATTTTCCTTGTAGCTGAAATTGTGGAAAGAGTCGTTCTTCTCGGGGCGCCTATTTCAATCAATAACGAAACGTGGCAGGAAGTGAGAAAGGTAAAAAGGAACAAAACTGTGTGTGTTCTCATTCTATCTGTCACGCAGAGAAACAAAAATCGTTTCATTGTTTTGTCCAGATGGTGGCCGGAAGATTCATCAATGTCTACGCCACAAATGATTGGACCCTCGGAGTTGCTTTTCGCGCAAGGTACCTTAAATTTCGCCTTTCTACTGACGTTTCACCTTCGCCTATTCCAACAACTAAGCCAAAATTTTCCCTATTTTTTTGTTTAACCTTCCACAGTCTGTTCTCTCAAGGATTAGCTGGAATTCAACCAATCCGTCTCCCCGGGATTGAGAATGTACGGCATTTCTGTACTCCCCCCTCTACGTTTCCGTGGAATGAACGTTTATTAAAATGGTTCTATAAAGTGAAATAGTTGTCGTAGTAAGTCCAGTTCATACGAGAAATGTGTACGTACAGGTGGATGTGACGGATACGGTGGAAGGTCACTCCTCTTACCTATGGAAAACGCAGCAGATTTTGGAGAGCCTCGAGCTCGACGCCTATTATCCCGTCTTCAACCTCTCTCCCTAAACCCTAAAACCCAAAAGCAAACCCTTCTCTCTCAGGTGCGTATGAGTATATGACTCTGACAACTCAAGTCTCTTTGTCCACACTTGAGGGTCTAAACCCAAAAGAATAAAATCTTACTTTAAATGGGTTTTCCGTCATGTCTGGAACAGTAATTCACTTTTGTGTCGGCAAACCCAAGTCGATTCTTTATCCGAATCGGACAAGTCTGTAAAAAAAAAAAGAAGTATTTGTTGTCAGTAAGTGTTGGAATTTATGATGGATTTGGCCATACATATTTTTGCTTTGTGATCAATGAAGCGTCGCCGTCTTGGAGCTAACCTAAACCTTCCATCATATTCTCCACCTTTTTTTTTTTTTTTGCTTGTTTAGGTGCCGTTTGGGTTCCTTTTGTTGTCGACGTCAAAATGAGCAAAGAAGGGATTGAGTTCGTGTTTTTTTTTTATTTGTCAGAACCAACATGAAGAAACTTAGACATATCCCGTTTGTCTTCCTAGCTCTAGGGATAATATATTATTCTTATTTTTTGTGAATTGGAAGAAAAAAAAATATAAACTTAAAAGAAAATTTATATATTTACAATTGATAACATTATACGTTGCGCATACGATAAATTTATGGGTAATACCGTATACGTGGGTGTACGTGTACACAGGTGAAAAATGACGTGGGTGATTGTTATTATTATTATCATTATGAAACAACAAGTCCACAAGTAAAAAATAGAACGACAGCCAGAGAGACATTTACAACTTACAAGTTCCCTTTTTAAGCAGATGCAAGTTCGAGAAAGTTTTACTTTTATTTTCCGAGAAAAAAAAAGTAAACGAAATCCCATAAAAGGTTAAAAAAAAAAAATATGAAATGAGGATAAAAATTAAAAGAGACGGGGGAGCCGACTTTCCACTTGTGCACCCCAGGGCGTTTTTCGTCTTTTTCACATTCTAATCCCGTCCTCCGTCGCCACGTGGCGCAGACCGAGAGTCCTTTAGTAAACGGAGCCGATGAGTCGCGTGGCTGGCACGGCGACGAGGCGCGTGGCTCTGGGGGCGGTGAGGCCGAAGACGTCGCTCATGTCGAGCTCGCTGGGCTTCATGCCGTCCGGCAATTCCCAGGTGAAGCAGTGGAGGAGATGAGCCACCGCCAAATCGAGAGCGTACAACCCGAGCTGCATACCCGGGCACGATCTCCGACCCGACCCGAACGGTATGAACTCGAAATTGCTCCCCTTGAAATCGGGCACGCCAGGCTTCAGGAACCTCGACGGGTCGAATCTCTCCGGGTCGGACCATGAATTCGGGTCGCGGCCGATGGCGAAGGCGTTGATCATGACCCGTGACCGCTTCGGGATGAAGAAACCGTCGATCTCGGCGTCCTCGGCCGTCTCGTGGAGGAGGAGAGGGATCGGAGGGTGAAGCCTCAGGGTTTCTTTGAGGCAACACTTGAGGAAGGTGAGCTTCTCCATGTGCGTCTCCTCCACGCGCCGGTCAAAGCCCACGACTTCGGCGAGCTCTTGTTGGGCCCTTTTCAGGTCTTCTGGGCTTCGGATAAGCTCCGTCAGGGCCCACTCTATCGCCGACGCCACCGTCTCTGTTCCTCCGAACATCACGTCCTGCCCATTTTGATTGAAATCCCAAATTATTATTTATCATCATTATCCCAATAATGAACATTAGAATATTCCTCGCTCTTTTTTTTTCTACCCGAAGAATAATCCATCCCCGTCATGCTTTCATTTTACATATTTTATTCGTGTTATTTACACAAATTCCTATAATATGTCGAAATACACAAAATATTGTTCCCATTTCTTATTACAATATTCATTTTTCCCCGTTTAGTTTTTATTATTTTAGGAAGAATTATCCAAAAAACACAACTTAGAAAAAACTACGGTTTTATACAAGTCGAACATGTTAGGAAAATTGTGGGAACCAGTCCACCATGATTTCTTTATATAAAGTTTTTTTGGTACTCCTAAGCAAAAGACATGTCTATATCGAATTAAGACATAGATCTCCATAAGTCTTGAGATTTTTTTCATAGGAACCACGTTGTTTCTCATGCCAGAAAATCTTACAGCAACTTGAATTTTATGTCGGTTTCTTAATATGTCCAAGGTTTGTGTGGATATAAACTTTATATATATGGCTGTTGATATTTAAATATATCCTATTATATGAATCGTTAGGGTTTGAGATGGATGTTTACCATGATGATGGCTTTGATGTTGTCACGAGTGAGCTTGATCGAGTTCTGAGTATCATCCGACTCGTTCGGCTGAGCCTCTTCGCTATAAAACGCGAGCAAATCATCGACCATATCCGTATCTCCATCTTGATCAGCGATATTTTGCTTTTCCCTCTCCCTCTTCTTCATGTGTTCATCGATGATGTCATCTATGAATCCATCTAGGGCTTTACGGGCATTAACTAGACGCCTGTTTAGTCCTTGAGGATCGATCCAACCAAGATACGGTATAAAATCTGCGATATTAAACGCTCCAAAGAGCTTGGAGAACTCTTGCAAGATCCTAATGAACTCGTCTTGTCCTTCTTCGCAAGCCGAGCCAAACGCGGCTCGGTACGTTATGTTCCTCGTCAAGGCAAAGATAAGTTCTCCAACGTTCACGGGCTTACCGACGTTGGCCATGACGCTCCGGACCATCTTGTCCACTTCGTCTCGAACAGAGGCCCATGATTCAGCCCTTTTGCGGCTAAAAACCTTCATTACACAGACTTTCCTCATCTGTCGCCAAAAGGGTCCGTAGTGAGCGAAGGCCATGTCGGCTCGGTCGTACGTTAAGTACGATATAGCGACGGTCGCAGGCCGGTTCGAGAATATGTTGTCTTGGACTTGGAGGACTTGTCGGGCCACGTCGGGGGACGAGACCGCGAACATGTGGAGGAAACCTATCCGGAGATGGAACAAACCACCGTATTTTTGGCTCAATTTGGCTAAGCCACGGTGCGTGAGTTGGTCCATCATGGACATGTTACCGATGATGGGTAACCCTCTCGGGCCGGGAGGGAACGGCCGTCTCCGCCGCCGGGAGACGAGGCCGAGGAAAATGATCACAGAGACGACTAGGATGAGAGCCGTGGGAGGGTCCAAGACTTGGTTTAGGGTTTGGGATAGAGACTCCATTTTGTAATCTTGATGGCGTCTGCGTTTTGCTTTTGATAAAAATCCGAAATGGGTTTTGGTGAGCTTTTGCCACCTTGGGATGTGATATTATACGAGTCCTTTATATAATCAATGTTGGGACCCAGATTCTGATTTTTATTACTCACCTTTTAATTCGTATTCCTAATTATCAGGTGTTTATTAACATTATTATGCTTTCAATTCATATATTAGTATTTATTTATTTTTGTCGAGTGGATCAAATAATTAGTATGCAGTTTTGTGTTTCTATATTCGTTTTGTCTGTATATATTTTTTTAAAAAAAATATAAAAACCCATATCCTAAACTACCAATTTAATTTCAAGGCGCACATGCTTATAGTGATTACAAATTATAGCGTAACAATAATTTTTATTTTATGATATGATAAAGAATGCCATGTGATAATCTATGTTTTAGTTTGAAAAACAACATTAAGTGTTTCATTATAAAGCCCAAGTGACATAATATCAAGCTTCTACTATATGTCAAGATATTTTCAAGCAGCCAAGTAGCAAAAACCCCAATTTATTATATGATATATAAATATATAGAGAGACAGTAATGTATGGCCCACATATTGTAACAATTAAATCCATCCCAATTACTAACATTATAGTTATTTCTCTTGTACTAATGAGTAGTCGTATATATGGTCCTTATGCATGATATTGTTAACTATACGTTTCTGCAAATATATTTATGTGTATATGCGACTATATTTTGTACTTTCTCTTCATTGTCATCTTTTGCGCAATATTATCTATATTTCTTATAAACTTATTAATAGCTCTATTTGAGTATAAATACTTACTAATACCACGAATTTTAATTAATTTTTTACACAAATTTATACTATAAACCGACTGGAAAGAAAAGACTATATAAATTTATTTTGCAATCACTTTTTAAAATTAAAAACTATGTGAAATTCTCGTAATAGAGATAATAAAATAAAATTTACATCGAAAATAAAATAAAATATAATTTTTTTCTAAAGTAATATATTATCGCTGAGCAAGTTAGACTTTTAAATAATAACCAATAGCTATTATTAAGCTATATTTAGAACTATAAATAGATGACAAACTTGCTAAAAAGAAAATGAAAATGAAATATCAGTGCCTTTCATGAGGATATATCGTGCATTAATTATAAGATTTATATATTTTTTTCTAGAAGTTCAAATTTCAACTCTTAAATATTTTAAATTATATTTTATGCAAGAGTTCATAATTGAATTATAATATTTGGTGAAATCAAAATGATAAAAATTGATTACAGTATAATGGGATAACGAATCGACTTTATATAAATATATATATATATATATATAATAAGATGACATGTCCATTTAAAGTTTTTAATTATCAACAACTCGAACATTATTTGTACTTTTGGCGGAGTCAACTCTTAGAGTTAGATATACTACATATATGTACGTATACTATATATATACACATAATGAAATTGAACCGACAGAAAGTACCAAAAAGTTTATAATTAGACTCGTCTACTTGTATAAAAATATAGGCTAAATTATCGGGAAATATTAATATATACTTTTATTTTTTGGGTAAAAATATCAATACTTTTATTGTTATCTCTACCATGATTAAGGTCTAATTATATATATATATATATATATATATATATTCAAAATGTGTTAAAAAATAGGGCAAGACGAAGGATTTTCAGAGAGAGAAAAAAACATAAACCAATGAACCGTTATGGTAACTATTAATATTGATTAACTGAATTATATTAATAATTCATCTAAAGAATATTTACTGTATTTTAAATTATCAATTGTATATTCATTTCTGCATGGTTGTCTAGACAAGACATTGGAACTACTGAAAATATGGTCGCACCCGTTGTTACGAAAGAATATATCTCAGTTTTTTTTTTCATTAGCAAGAAAAAGACAACCTCTCTCTCTCTCTCAATAATAATAATAATAATAATAATAATAATAATAATAATAATAATTGAGGTGGCGTGTTTAAACATCATTGTAACGTCATTGTTAATATAAATTACCAAATCCAACAGTTGGTGGTTCACTAGCTGCCTGAGAGGTGACAACGTCATCTTTAAAGTTTTGGGTTCGATTTTACTAGTGAAGAAGAATGTAATTTTTGGACCAAAATGGTCCACATACAAAGATTGGTCCTGAATTTAGGGTGGATGTAATCAGATCGAAGATCCGGGAAATCATTCTGGTTATCAAAAAAAAAACAAATATTGAAGTGATATTTATCTACTTTTTTATTCAACGATGTGCTTGTTGATTATTATTATTATTATATTATAAATGATTTTGGTTAATCACATCAATAATATCTAAAGGAGTATATATATATATATAATCACAAGTGAAGGGACTTCTGGATCCGGTACTTAGTGGCCAATTAATGGACACTATTCCCGTTTATGCGGTCTTAATCTTTGTTTAGACTCATAACCTTACCTACAGTACTTACATTATTGTTTTTTGTTTCTATATTATTTAATTCGCACACAATTTTAATCCTTGAAAATGGAATAAGTTTATAATATGCATGCTTTGTAAATTCTGCATAAAAAACTATTTTTCATAAATTAAAAATATCTCTTTATTATCTAAAACATAAAAGTCTGACTAACTTTGAATACGAGGGTACGCATAAATCGAAATAAAAGAATTAAATTTACTATTTTGAATAATAAAACTATAAAAAATAATATTTTCATCTTAAAACAACCCATACAATTTATCCGTTTATAATTAATATATTGATAATATGGAGAATTTCTTTGTATTAGAATATGTATTTGCCAATTTGTTTACCACCGCCAAAATTTGTTAAATATCAAATGGAAACCTTTAGAGTAAAATTTTACAGAAATGTCGTCGGTTGCTCCAAATTCCAATGAAATACTTTGTTATATTTATATTTTTAAAATATTACATGAATCCATTTTAATATTTTCAAGAGCATCATTACCTTTTGACCTTTGTTATTGTTGTTTACGGTTAGATAATGTTTCGAAGGTGAGTAAAGGTCCTCACCACCAACTTAATTAATCATTCAAAATGTATAGCAGTAAAAAAAATTAAATTACTACAGTAAACCATTTTAATTAGCTGGTAAACTCTCCCGCGCAAAACATTATAACATATGAAACGCAAGCACTTTTTTCTTTATTTTTTGTGAGACATAATTTATTTATTAAAAATTTAAAATATATCTTTTTTTATTAATAAATACGACGTACGTCATCAACTGATTCATGGAGTGGAGATATTTTTTATTTCTTATCGAATCATTTTTTTTGCTAACCGGATGTTCAGTATGTTATTCACCTATAACTTTCTTTGTATTCATATTATATAGTTTATAACTTATACTAAACATACGTATATGTAAATATACGTACAATAAATAAATATTACAAAACACACAAACTTGTACTATAAATAAATATTATAGAAACAATACAGTATAATTTTATAGAAACAATACAATATAATTTTAAAACGAAAATTCTAGATTCTAAGTTTCGCTTTAATAATTTGATGCGAAAAAATATGTTACATAGGAAAGGAATAAATCATTATCTAAATTTCTTTTCAAAAGTTAGCTTTCGAAGGTTTCAATCCTTTTATTCCCAAATTTTACTTTCTTTTATTTTGGTATTTTTGTTTGATTAAAATTCATTTTCAATTTTTATTCTTGGTCATTTTATTTTTTAAATGCTCACGTCGATTTGGACAGCTTAGTTTTCGTTGTGTCGATAGGATCAACTTATGCCTGCGTGTCGTTTTTTAATTTTATTAATTTCCCTTTTTCTAATTAAAGAAACTTTGCTTACCAACTTTTATAATTTATTTAGTTTACTATTTTATTGACCGCAATATATTAACTTGATTGTTGTCGGCGTCAAATGGAAAACCTAACAACAGGTTACGATCCTTCTGCGTTGATTCGCTAAATTTAGAACTCGTAAAAAACATTAACAAAAAATTGCTAAAAATTACATTTATGAGTACATACATACATACATACATACATACATACATACATACATACATACATACATACATACATACATACATACATACATACATATATACATTTACGAGTGTATGCATATGCATGTATTTATATATGGGACATTATGTGATTTATCAACCCTAAAGTGTACATGCAAATATATATTTCCTTATATTTTAGTCATTCTAGAGGGTTATAAATGAAAAATATTTTAGGACGTCCCAACAAATCTAGAAGACTTAATTAATTTTCATTTGCAAAAAACAGGTTTGGAGGGTGATTTTACCCGGAGAGGGAAAAAGATGACGTCATTTTTTAATTAGGGTTAACATTTCTATTATAATAAATAAAGGTTAATCCAATAATCATCTAATACACGAAATAAATATGATCTACTAATATAAGAAACCAATGTAATATTATGTAATCATATAAAGAATAGATATATTTTTAATATCGATCGAGTATGATTTTTAAAATTTAAATTAATTGAATATTAATTTATTTTTAGGATTAAATGTTAAACTAATAGAAAATCGAAATAAATATGTATATAGATATATATATATATATATATCAACAAGAACTGGAAATAAATTTTGTTAGAAAATGATCATTATAATTTGAAAAATAAAAAAAAATCTAAACCCGAAAATAGTTTAACCGATATGATACTCTATTTTTTTTTTACCCGATTTCCATAAAGGCATAAATATTACTGGAATATTTTCCGTAAATAAATTACAATTTTATGATGATTTATTATGTAAAAGTTTTTTTTACTAGACAAAACTGCTATGCTGATATTATATATAGTGGGGTCTTCAAAAGACATAAGCAAACACATGGACAAAATTTGTAGTTGGTGGCATTGGAGACTAATAATATTTTAATTCCTTTCTCCAACGGCAATCTCTAAGCGGCATAGCATATTATATATATATATTAGGATTAATAATAACGCCCAAATCAGATAATACGGACTTTTAATTTATTTAATGCAAAGAATCTGTAGTTGGTAACTTGCACTAAAAAACGTTAGAGATCTGAAGTCACATTTGCTTCGACCTAGATTAGTCTTAATTAGGATAGTCATTGAAAAGAATCATATAAAAAAATCAAAATTTTATATAAATATGATTATAAAACTAAATTATTGCCGTATAATTAAAATATGATTATTAATAATTTTTAATTCCGATATTAAAATATTAAATTGCAATATTTAAAATGGGCATTTTTTTTTAATGTAGGATTTGAACTTCTTTGAATAGACAGCCAACAACTCTCGAGTCGCTGTCCAAAAAGCCGACCCTCTGTTGGAACAAGACAATTATTTCCTTTTCTCTTCCTCTTCAATAAGATTCAATAATTAAAATTTTCAATGTTTATAATTAATTTTTTTATTTAGTATGCCGTATATATAAAGGTCACATGTAGATTATGGATCTTTTTAGTCTTTTAAAATTTTGAGGCCTTAATTATAGGTTTTTTTTTTGTTAAATAACTTAATTAGGGTTTTGCTTAATTTGGTTGCCGAACATGTATTTTTAAAAACCTGTACGTATTCTGTCTTTATATCGATTTTATATTCAATTCGATTTGGTTTGAACTTAGCTATTATTACAAAATGTTAATTTTAACAATTGTAATATTAAGTTACCACAATAAAAATCATGGAGTATAAAACCGGAACTAGATAGATAAAAACATAATTTGAAAACGAATATATCTGAATCCATCTTTACGATAGAATCCAACGATTCTGATCGAATTCTTTAGTTTTACAGTTCATTGGAGATAATTTCTTTGATAAATGAATTTTAGAGAAATTATCTCAAACATAGATCACACTGTTTTATATAGAGAATAATTTAATATATTTTTTTTCAATTACGTTCATAAAAAAACAGAAATTAACAAATGGTGTTTGCACATTGGTCTCTATACTTTTTTCAAGATATGATTTAGGCTTTAAAACTTAGAAAGATCACATAGTTGGGCGAATTAGAGAGTAGCACATAAATCTTGATTTGATATGTTTCTGTTGTAAGCATTCCGACACAAAATATTTATTTTTCTTAGGTTACTTTTTATTATTTTCATAAACGGCAGACCGACATACATAAAATATCCGTAGAGCGAAACATTTTGCTAGAGATTGTTTTCACCGTTCGAAGAACTCATGAACTCTATTTTTTTTATATTGAGCTAAAATTTAGTTAATTTAATTTTTAAAAACTCATATCGGATCCATTATTACACCAAATTTTATGGAAACATGATCATATGTATTATTTAAAATGGAATATCCGCCTCTCTATCATACTTCGTTCTACCAAACCAATCGTATCTATCTTTTATAATATATGTCGTGGTTTAAATATATTTCTATTGTGTTTTCAGCATCTGACATCCTAACTAAGGAATAATTTTGAAAATATTCTTTTTAATTATTCACATATTTGGTAGGAACGTTTGCAAAAATAACTAAATGTTTATTTCGGAGAATATATTGCGTAGAATGGATGATTATAAAAAAAAAATCAATAAAACCATTATTGAATTTATATAAATATGGACAGACCAATATGATTGAACACAAAAATATCTAAATTTTCCCCCAAATATTCACTATATATATATATATATATATATATATAAATCCGACGGTCACCAACCACCGATGTGAAATGTTCCCACATCGAGATGCTTGTAGAAGAGTAATTGAGATTTGCACTGATTGTAGGCCAAAATTAACTCAAAGGATAAGCTCAAACACCACGCGCCCATTTCTTGTGCGATGATGATGCAATTAGTTTACAGATATTTAAGTCAAATGGATAATAGATATTTATATCAAATGGATATGAGATATTTATATAAAATGGATAATAGTATTTTAAAAAACATCGGCATCACCGTACGTAAGTCGTAACACAACAAGCCACAATGACTTCATGGTCGATATATTATACAAGGGCATACGTACAAAAAATGTTTCGTATTCCACCAAATATTGCACAATATTATGGATAAATTTTAATTTTTCAATGTGGAAAAATCAAAAGTATTGACGGGTTCATTGCGGATTGTGTATATCTCAAAGGCTTGACTAGAACGCACCCGAAATATTTATATTATGATGATATTCATATAAAAGGTTTTAATTTAAACTATAACGTAGTAGAAGACGAGTGGACGTCGCTATATATACGTGCCCAAGCTCTCGAGAATAACTTAACGGAGAGGCTATACAACAACGTACGCCGTCTACTAGTGCATGTCCGTCAACTCTATTAGCGAATTAATTACCTGAAAATGTTCGAGTTGTAAACATATGTATACTGTGAAATCTAAATATTTTCATGAGATACTTGACGTAATTTATGTAATAAGTTTTTCTTTTAATACATGATATTAGATTCGATATATATGATATCTGATATATCATGATAAGTTTGGCTAAGTAATCCCGTTGCTATGTAATAATATATGTTTTTTAATTGATAAATGCGAAAATATATAAACAAAAAAAATGAATGTAATAAAAAATACTATATAATCCGTAATAACACAAGAACAACGTCTTACATCGGACTTCACGTCTTCATCACGTCATCTTAGATATTTCACGGATGCATATGTTTGTGGATATGCATAAATATACCGCACTAACTTTATTTTTTTTTTAATTATCCGAATTAATGGAGATGGATTTGGATGGACCGGATCATATAATATACACATCCATTGCGTTTGTGGCTTCTGTCATTTCACGTCTCCATCCGTCGGGAAATTCTGTATAAAATTTTATCCGATCTCCTCCTCCGGGTTTGGATTTCTCTCTCTATATATTTCCAATATAAAATATTTATTTGTTAAATTCACTGAATAATAAAATCCCTGTCCTACCATATGGAAATGGAAGGAATAATATTCCAAGTAAAAAAAAAAAACGAAAAAGGAAGACGTAAGAATAGCCCACAACGAAGTAACCATATGGGCCCGACAGCTGGCCTAATATGTAGGCCCAATAAGGGCAGATGCTCGGCCCAACACAAGTATCAAAAGATCTACGCATTGTCCACCGTTAGATTATAGCTCCTTAATCGGACGGTCATAAAAGAAACCCTTTACGCTTCCAATAAAGCCCCCTTAACGTTGTTCATATTCATCCTTCGCCTCTCGCCTGCCCTTGCAACCATTTTATCTCTCTTTTGAAGGCGGCGCCGCATTCATCAGGTTCGGATCTGAATGCTCTTCTATGTTTCTACGTATTTATATTAATTGATTCGATTGTAGGTTTGTGCTTTTCTCGGATTCGATCTGGTTTCGTGTGATGGTGGATTTTGTCTGAAATCGCTTTGTCTTCGTTGTTTCAGAAATAATCTTCGAGCTTCATTAACAATGGCGGCGGCGTTCTCCAACCTTAACTCGGCTGCTGGATTGAAGAAGCTTGACGAGTATCTCCTCACTCGCAGTTACATCACCGGGTGAGTTTCTCTTTTCCTCTGATTGTCGATGGCATAAATCACAATTGATTATACATAACTTTCGGATAATGTGATAAATCATCACCGGGCGACATTTTCCTTAATATAGGGGCAATTTTTTTATCGATTAAGACATAGGGGCAAATCTGTTGTATTGTTTGGTTATGAACTTGCCTCTACTCATTTGAATGTCTGTTCGGAGAATTGCAGTGAATGTAATATGTTGAAGATGTTGCAACAAGCTTGTATTGGCTAATCGTTTTTTTTGTATGTATTAGATATCAAGCTTCAAAGGATGATCTCACCATCTATGCTGCTCTCTCAAAACCTCCGACCTCCGAATACGTGAATGTGTCCCGTTGGTACAACCACATTGATGCCCTTTTGAGGATCTCGTAAGTTCTGATTTCTGTCATCATTTCCCTCTTTTGGTTGTTAGGGTTTGATATTTTGGATTTCATTATCTATTGCGTGTTTGACTTGTGGGTTTTACTCGTATCTTTCGTTTGCAGAGGTGTGACTGCTGAAGGGAGCGGTATCACTGTTGAGGGTTTTGCTCCTATCACAGAAGAGGCTGTTGCAACTCCACCGGCAGAGGACTCTAAGGTATACAATTGTTTTTTTTTATATCAGTTTATCAGGTTCTGCAATGCATCATACCGTTCTTATAGTTTGTTGTTGTTGAGGTCCCACTCTGTTTCTTGTTGTCCATGTTGCAGATAGATTTTGTTTTTATGTGAATGTCGTTTATGCCATTGCCTTCATCTAATTGTAGGCTGCTGCTGCTGATGAGGATGACGATGACGATGTTGATCTTTTTGGGGAGGAGACCGAGGAGGAAAAGAAAGCAGCTGAAGAGCGTGCAGCAGCGGTGAAGGCATCTGGAAAAAAGAAGGAATGTAAGTCATCTTTTGTTTCCGTATGAATATACCTTTTTATGAACTTTATTTTCTTAGTTCGATGCTCCGAGGATTGATAGCATGCATGATCATATGCTGATGGAGGGTTGTCTGCTTGGTTTTCACAGCTGGAAAGTCATCCGTTCTTTTGGATGTCAAGCCATGGGACGATGAGACTGACATGAAGAAGCTCGAGGAAGCTGTCAGAAGCGTCGAGATGGAAGGATTGCTCTGGGGAGCATGTGGGTGCATCTTACTATTACTCTTTTCATCCCAGACATTCACTTCTTTTTGTATCTCGAATATACTGATTTGTTAAAATGTTTACAGCAAAGCTTGTGGCTGTTGGTTACGGTATCAAGAAGTTGCAGATCATGCTCACCATTGTTGACGACCTTGTCTCTGTCGATACCCTCATTGAAGAGCAACTGACCGTTGAACCCATCAACGAATATGTCCAGAGCTGTGACATTGTGGCCTTCAACAAGATATGTAAGTTTCGAATCTATGCTTATAAGCTCTCTCCCTTTGTTTTCGCCTAAGCTTTTGTGGGAGTTTTGTTGTACTGAACATGTGTCCTTTTGGGCGTATCGTAATGCAGGATGAAGAGAGATTATTGCCAAGGAGTCTACTCTATATATTATAATGCGTCTTGCTCTTGTTGTGGAACCTTTGCTTTGATCGATTCTGATATTTATGGCAACTATGTATTCCGCGGATGCTTGTTTAGTTTTCTACTGGTTCAAAGATTCCGTGTTCCAATAAGAACAACCTAGACTGTCGGAAATTGCAACATCTAAGTGATCTCCATAGAGATTTCTCTATGGTCGATTCTTGCATTAAAGGATACGCATCGGAACACTTCACGGATAGAGATGAACATCCCCGTACATGCAGAGATCTCAAATCATTCAGTAAACGCGCAGCTAGTGATGCGCGTGGATGGTACGGCGACAAGGCGCGTGGCTCTGGAGGCGGTGAGACCGAAGACGTCACTAATGTTGAGCTCGCCGGCCTTCGTCCCGTCCGGCAACTTCCAGACCCAGATGAAGCAGTGAAGGAGGTGAGCCACCGCCAGATCAAGAAAACTGACATGTTGTACATATTTATATATTATATATTTCTAATACTCCTTTTGGCCTATGTAATGAACACTTCATGTGCTAAATGAAATTGTCTACAATTTGTTACGTGGGGAAAAAAATAAAATGACAATTAATATCGATTTACTTCTTTTTAAACCGATCCAACACTAGAGATCCGAGACAGTTGAAAATTGTGGCATGTAAGCTAAGCCACTGAGGTATTTCTCTATACTCGTATTTGATGTTTACCTCTTTTGCTAAAAAGAAATGTGAAATGGGTACCTATCTATTAGAACATGTCACGGATTTAGCCATGAGTCCGTATAAGACTGACGGGACAAGGAAATTTAATTACTATAGAGATGAACACCGGAACATGAAACTGGATAGTGGATATATATATACATATTATATATATATATATATATATATATATATATATATATATATATTTGTGAAAATAATGGAACAACTGTAGAGCACCAAAATCCAAATCCAACAAACTTGAAACGAAGCATATTGTGTGAACCCATTATCAAAATTCGCATGCGTATACCAAAAGAGAAGTAATCCTCCTTGGCTCCATTCTTGTCTCCGAGGGCACACACCCTTTTGGTGGCCACACTACCACCTACTATTATTATATGCGCCTTATCGTTTTTGCGGTGCATATATATATATTATGGTCACATGTCTATGCAATGATCACTTTGATTTTATCTTAATACTACATCATGCAAAGAACGTAAAACAACAAAATATTGTCTACTAACCCCTTCTTGTGTTCTTCACATCACCTATGCAAAATCTATTGGAAATATATACACGATATCACCTGTCCGGACGCGCAAGAGGGATAAAAACATATAGTCAAAGGAAATCTGCCTAAAAATCAGTTACATATATCATTTAGAATTTGTGTAAATGTACTTCTATTTCTGTCGGTTATTTGTGTAGAGTTTGGTTTTAAGTGTAATGGTAGTCTTTCTTGCCCATGAAGCAAACGCTCTTTTAGTTTGGTCACTCTATAATGGATAAATGCATATTTAATTCAGAACAAACTACAATATTTTTCGTCTCTTTTGCAGCCTTTGGGGAAGAAGTTAAAGAAATTCGGTAGGTTCTGCATGTGGGTGCGCTAATTAACAGTTAATATAAGTTCAATTTAATTAATTATGGCGACGAGGAATGGTATAAAAAGGAGGGGAGGGGGAAGGGTGATGGGCATCTCAAACCATATGGAGATGTTTGCAAGAGGCTTGGTGGTGTTCTTGTTAGTAGTTGCAGCTTCTGCGCTCTTGAGCTCGAGCTCTGTTCAGGGGCTGCGGGGCTTGGAGGATCAGAGAAATGGACAGTCAAGGTCCATTAATGGAAGTGTTGATGTCAAAGAGGTGAATAGAGAGAAGGCCAACGCTTCGTTAGCGTTCGACAATGTCTTAGTGGGCCTACATAGCGAAGGAGGAGGTGGTGGTGGAGGGGGAGGAGGAGGTGGCGGCGGTGGAGGAGGAGGAGGAGGAGGCGGTGGCGGAGGGAGAGGGGGCGGCGGTGGAGGAGGAGGGGGCGGCGGTGGAAAGAGAGGAGGAGGAGGAGGTGGTGGTGGCGGCGGAATATTACTCTTTTCATCCCAGA